TCCCTGGTCTCCAAGATCAGGCCCTGGGCTGAAGGTGGTGCTAAACCACTGAGCCACCTGGGCTGCCCTCTCTTGGATATCTTGAATGCAATAGCTTCTGTTATCCCCTGATGCTATTAATGATAGTCTTCCCCTCTCACTAGCTTCATGCTGTGTATTTCAGTATTTGATCTCATGTTAGACGATTTTCTCAGATTTTTCATAATGCTTGGTTGCCTGTTTAAGAATGGGCATGAAAAGGCTGCTTAAAACACATGCATTGGGACTAGCTGACCAAGGCTTCACTGTAGAGACATCAAGCCAAAGACTGACTTAAGGATCAGCATCTTAGTTTTTCCTCCAGGGCTGAATACATTTGCCAGATAAGCTTCTTCCAATATGCTACTTAGGGAGTAAAGATCTGGCTTTCATCCTTCTTGAAAACTAGTAGGAAACATTCATATTCTCTCTCTCTCTCTCTCTCTCTCTCTCTCTCTCTCTCTCACACACACACACACACACACACACACACACACGTTTTCCATACTGAATTCTGAGCTCAAAGGTACTCAGCATGCTTCAATCAAGAAACTCCTCTGCTTTACTCTCCCCAGAGAACACACTAACCGAATGGGCATTCCAGAGTTTTAACAGTTTCTTAAATGGTTTTCAACTATTCTACTTATTTTAGTATTCTTTCCTTTGCTTCCACTAAGGTACCAGCTACTGCTAATTCCTGGGTCTTTTAAGGTTCCTGCAGTACAAACTGGATTGGCTCTTGATTTCCCCTGTCAGGAGATAAAACTGCTGACTCAGTCATCACATTTACTCTCCAGCGTCCAAAATAATTCAATAGAGATTTATAGTTAAACAGACAAACCATGGTCCCTTTAATCTAGTCTTAGGTTTGGGATGGAGTCAAGATAGATGTGTTTTTCAATCTGCTACCTTTCTGGAATCGTTTTTTTGTTTTTAACCTCCCCAAATGATTTAAGTCCACCTGTCATAACTGTGTAATTATCTTGGTGACTCAGGGCAAATTGTTTAAACACATATAATAGGGGACCAAATGTCTACAATTCATATCACTTGAATATTGTGAAAAACAGACAAAAAGATGTGTGCCCAGTGAAGAAGGTGCTCTATTTACCTAAGGTTTATCTATCTTCTTATAGGAGGACACTATTTCACTATTAGTAGGGGGAGTTGTTTTTCCATCAAAGATGATATACTGGATGATGATCTCTCCTTGTCTCTCATAACCCAAAGTCAGCTTTTGGGTTATTATACAGTGCCCAGATTTATGCTGCCTTATGACAGGTGAACATCAAGTCATTAACTGTAATGTAATAAACTAATGACTTCAGCCTCCTTATGCTGTAACTAAAGCAATGACTTTATGTTGTTTGGGTGTGTGCTGTTCATGTGTGTGTGTAACTATGTAGGAGTTTTTCATATAAATATTTTATATCTCATTCAAGGCATTTGGATTATGATAACAGCAAGTTTTAGCAGGCCACACCATTCAGAAGAGAAAGGAAATTAATATTCCTAAAAAAGAGAAAATTAGATACTACTTGAGAGGTGAGGCATTCTGCTTCTAATGAAAAACAACTTTTAATTTTAACACACTATTTTCAACTTTAGGTGTTTGGTAAATATTAAGCTTTTTTTCCCCCCACACCTGCAGAGGTGTAAAGCACCACACAAGTAGCTTGCCAGGCCTCCTTGCAGTTCCAAAATGCTATAATGCTACCACCATCAACTGGAATTTAGGAAACCTGGGTTCTAGTTCCAGCTCTCAAACTGGCTATGTGACCTAGGCAGGATATTCAGGCCTGGTTGGACTCTTCATCTATAAAATAGCAATTCTTAAAATTCTTTCACAATTGGGATGGCTGGGTGGCTCAGCGGTTGAACCTCTGTCTTTGGCTCAGGGCATGATCCTGGAGTTGTGGGATCAAGTCCCACATCAGTCCCTGCATGGAGCCTGCTTCTCCCTCTGCCTGTGTCTCTGCCTCTCTCTGTGTATTTCTCTATTTATCATGAATAAATAAATAAAATCTTTAAAACAAACAAACAAACATTCTTTCACAATTGATTTCCTATTGCTGGCACAGGAGCAAAAGTAAACAAATCAGAAATAATGTATTCATTCAGACCAGTTAATATATATTAAATACTAATGCAAACTTTTTTTTGGTCTCAGTGCTATAATTAATTTACTTTGAATACCTATCAAGTGCATGAAAATCCTATCTCTAAAAAGTATCAATTTTATCAAGAAATACAAGAAATACTGTGAATGTACTTTTCTTTCCTCTCCAATTGTCAGATAATGACTCCCACATAACCAGTCTTTTTTTTTTAATCTTTAGATATAATATTTTAATGAAAAGACTTTTTGGGTGGGGTTTGAGGGAGAGAATCTTGCTTTCTATTTTTTTTTTTATATTTCCAGTGATCAAGATCTTATTTATACAATAAACTGATTTTTGTAAAAATATTTCATTATTTGTCATATTGGTCAGTCATAAAGTAGCCTTATTGTGCTGCAGCAACAGGATTTTTCTACCTCTTGGAGGAACGTTTTAATAAAATTGGTAATTAAAATGGTTTCAAGAGGGGATCCCTGGGTGCCTCAGCAGTTTGGCACCTGCCTTCCGCCCAGGGTGTGATCCTGGAGTCCGCAGATCAAGTCCCACGTCCATCAAGTCCCACGTCGGGCTCCCTGCATGGAGCCTGCTTCTCCCTCTGCCTGTGTCTCTGCCTCTCTCTCTCTCTGTCTCTCATGAATAAATAAATAAAATCTTTAAAAAAATAAATAAATAAAATGGTTTCAAGATAAAAATGTGAGAAGGGGGTTTCACATCCTACTCAGAATTACTATAATATGTTTATGGGGTAGTACATGCTTTAATCCATTGCACCTTGGTTCAAATCCTAGATTTTGTCACTATCACGCTCTGTGGACTCTCGGCAAGCCTATTTATTTATTTAAAATCTTTTTTTTTTTTTTGAAGATTTTATGTATTCATGAGAGAGAGAGAGGCAGAGAGAGAAGCAGGCCCCATGCAGGGAGCCCGACGGGGCGACTCGATCCCTGGTCTCCAGGGTCAGGCCCTGGGCCGAAGGCAGCGCTAAACCACTGGGCCACCGGGGCTGCCCTCGGCAAGCCATTTAATTAGGGGTCAGCCACCTCGCTTCAAACGTGCTGTGAAGATAAAATGAAATCAACAAAGCATTCTAAAAAAGAAAAGAAGGAAATTAATATACAAATATTGCTCTTGTGGCTAATTACCTCAATTGTAAGTGCCTGCTTGGGATTGAGAGGGCTGGAGCCCTACTCTTACATTTTATCCCATTAGTTTCTCTCCGATCCGCATCTCGTCTTTTATTACAGAGCCCAAGGCCCAAGGCTCTCCATGCATCAGACCACATACTTCACTATCACCGGAAATAACCTCCTTATTGATTTTTCTCAGGCCTTGCTCGAAACCAGACCATATATCGTCATCCTGTAAGAATCACATATTCTGCTTTTTTACGGTCGCTATCAAGCTTTTCTCTAATGCGGCGACATCAAGGACAGAAACCCATGTGGAAGACGAGGCTGCACGAGCAGACTGGAACCGCTGCTCTCCAAGGGCTTTCTGAACCTACAGGTGGGCATCGCTCATGCCCAGCGGCGACCACCGACGTAGCGGGTGAAGTCAGCCGTTCTCGAAAGCACAGAGCATGTCGTGAACTCTATCAAGAGTCATTTCTTAAAAGTCTTTTCGCTAGAAAAGGCTCCTGGAAACCAGACCGGTGTTCGGAGAAAAGAATGGGACCTCCCTAGTCGCAAGCCCCTGTTTGGTTACCAGTGTACCCGACGCAAGAAACTGGCTGGAGGGTCAACAGTGGCGGGGTTTCCGCGATGTGACAAGGAGCCAGCCGAGGGCTGCAGCATGCATCCGTCCTGGCCTAGGGCTGCAGCAAAGCATCCCTCCCAGCTTAGGGCTGCAGCATGCATCCGTCCCGGCCTAGGGCTGCAGCATGCATCCCTCCCAGCTTAGGGCTGCAGCACGCATCCCTCCCAGCTTAGGGCTGCAGCACGCATCCCTCCCAGCCTAGGCCTGCAGCATGCATCCCTCCCAGCCTAGGCCTGCAGCATGCATCCCTCCCAGCCTAGGCCTGCAGCACGCATCCCTCCCGCCCTGAGCAAGCGCGCGCCAGAGGGCCCTTTACCGTCTTGCAGGACGAGGCTGGGCTGCACCGCCTGCACCCGGAACTGCCTGGCCCTCCAGCCGGGGCTGGGCGCCCGCACCACCTCGCTGTCAGACAGCCAGGTCACCGTCTCAAAATTGTCCCCGCGAGCCAGCGCCTCGGCCTCGGCGTGATGCACCGCCACCCGGTCGAACTGGTAGAGGCCCCCGGAGTGGTCGAAGTGCACGTGGGTGGCCACAGCCAGCAGGGGCCGGCCCGCCGCGTCCCCCCCGGCCCCGAGGTCCTGCAGGAGGCCGGCGGAGTACAGGTACTCCGGGAGGCTGCGCAGCCCCAGGCCCGTGTCGATCACCACGTCTTGCTCGGAACCGCGCACCAGCCAGATGTTGGCGCGGTTGCCGGACTCGTAGAAGCGCTCCTGGATCCAGAAGATGCCGTCGCCCAGGGACTTGTGGGCGTACCACTCGAGCGCGGACATGCTGGGCAGGGGTGCGGCCGTGCGGGGCCGCTTGCAGCGCTAACGCGGGGGCCCTGCCGCAGAGCGGAGGCGACCGGAGGCCGCGTCCTCACCCGGGGCCGCCTGACTGCTGGGCAGGCGCCAGGTGCTCCCGCCCACCGCGCGCCGCGAAGCTCCCCCCGCCGGCGCCGAAAGAGTCAGGCGAGGCCGGCGGGGCGGTACGGCGCCTGCCAGGGGCTAAAAAGCCTCTCGCCCAGTGGGCGGGGCCAGCGCGGGCGGGGCGGGGCCGGCGGGCCGGGGGCGGGGCCGGCGCGGGCGGGGCGGGGCCGGCGCGGGCGGGGCGGGGCCGGAGCCGGGCCCGGCGGCCGCGTGGAGGGCGGGACGCGCTGCTCCCGAGGTGGCTCCGGCCTCCGGGCGCCCGCGCCGGGCTCGCACCCCTTCCCTGCCGCCCGGCGCCTCGGCTGCACCCGGTTGCCCCAGGCTCGGGGCTTAGTGAGCAGGTAACGGGGGGAGCCCTTGAGGGCTTGGGAGGAGATGGAGAGGGCGCGGGGAGGAGGCGGCGGAGGTCCGGGCTGGCGAGCCCCTCCAGCGGTTCTGGATTGAGGGGCGTCGGGGGATGGCTTTACCTTTCCTTCTCCTTAATGTCTTCAAAGTCTTAGAAAACCGTCCTTTCCCCTTCCCGGGACTGCTTGCAGCGAGTTACTTTGAAGGGGATTTAGGCTCCCTCACTGATGCTACATTTTTTTTTTTCCCCAATCTGGTGGCTCTGGGATCGTGGCTCAGGCACGAGCCCCTGCCGCAGACTTGCTGCCTGAGGACACACCACCCGGTACGTTGCCTTAACTCTTGGCATTTTGCCCTGTATCGTGGGGACAGGATTTGTTCATAACATTTTTCTGATCTTCCAAAAAAAAAAAAATGAGATTCTGTATTCCTCCCCCCTAGCCTCCATTTTTTTCTTTTTCTTTTTTTCTTTTTTTTTTTTTTGGTTAGTTTGTTCACCCTTGAAAGAGAGCAAAGGAAGTTGTTAGAGAGGCTCAACTAAGTAAAGGTGGAGGCAGTCGCACCTCGTGAGACCAGGAAACGTGCATAATGTCTGGGCGTGGCCCAGGCAGCCTCAGAAATCACCCCCACTCTGAACACCAAATCCCTGTCCCCAACCAGCTACCTTTCAGCTACTGAAACACCGAGTTAGGCTTCAAAATTTCCCTTGAGAAGTTGACTAACCTCCCTCCTCAGCCAGGAAAAAAAAATTATAAAGATACTCATGAGATACCATTATACAAAATAATTAGGAAAACCCTTATTGTGGCAGCTACTAATAAGCCTTCATGGGAGAGATGTACTGTCTTCCCCTACACTCCTAAAGATGTAGCTTTTCTGAATATTTTCCTAATCTAGTTAGAATCTCTGCAGTCACTCTGTGCAGGGCTATCCTTACATGCAAGGTCCTGAACTAGATGTGTGAGAATAGAACTGGGTGGGGGCAAAAAAAAAAAAAAAAAAAAGTTGTGATCTGGATTCTCAAGAATCTGAGGGAAGATAATATCTATGTGCAAATATTTGCAATGTAAAGCAATATGGGATCTATACCACAGAGGAAGTAAAAACTAGATGCTATAAGGATACAAACGGAAAGGATTGTTGAAGAGTGGTATTTGAGCAGGACTTAAAACACCAATGTTTATTAGGATGCTCTCAACGGGGAAGTACAGAGCTTTCTGTAATTTGGGTATTTTTCCTTTAGAAAGAGGGGGGAACCATTGCAGGAGAAATGGAGGGGTATCCTTTCTAGGCAGTGAGCTCAGCAATAATGTGCCCAGTATTTATTGGACTTTTGCCAGGCTCTGGTTAGTGGTAGAGCATGAAAATGTGAAAAAGTCTTCCTTCATATTTACAGATTCTTCTGCTTGTATGACACTTCCCCCTGGCTGGCTGTCCCTTCTTAGTTCTCAGTGTGGCCTTTCCATTTCCTGTGCTAGACTATGAGCTCCATGAGAGCAGAAGCTTTGTTTTCCCAGTATGTAGAAGATGGTCTGACGCAGAGGGTGCTTAATAAATACTTGTTAAATGGATAATGGGAGAGCTTACTGGGAAAACAGACAAGACCTGACAATTACAGCACGATTTCCAAAAGGATAATAAAAGCAGTGTAGTACTTGAGAAACAGGGAAGGAGAGACCCACCTCCATGTTGGGTGGAGAAAATGGTCACAGAAAAGTATCGTTTGCACAGCATCTTAAATGATGCTGGCACTTGCTCAGGTGGATATGAGAGGAAGGCATTCCAGACAGAAGGAATGCTACATGCAAGAGCTGGTGTAGCAGAGTTGAGAGTGTGTAGAGTATGGTGTGCAGGGGGCCCGAGGCAGAAATTCAGACTCAGAGCTTTGTTAGTTAAGGAGAATGACACATCAAGGTTCATGTTCTAGAAAGATGATTGAAGAGTAGATTGAAAGGGGGAGTCTGACCATGGGAATATATTTGTTCTGTGTTAGAGATCCAGGTGAGAGCTGATAAAGGCCTTAACAAAAGCAGGTGAAGGAAGGACAGGCAACATGTAAGAGAGATACAGCCAACAGTTCTTCTATTGATGAGGGGATCAAGGAGGTCAGTGTGACTATCGGATTCTGATTGGGGCAATTGAAGTGTCATTCATCAGGAGAGATACTGTGACCTGGCTTTCATTGCCTTCCCGCAGCTTCCATACCTACCTACATCTGCTCGTACATTTATTCACCTAGCTAATATCTGCAAGGGACAGTGTGAGATGTGGAAGACAATACATTTAGGCCACAGCATAAGTCCTAAAATGTTAGTGCTATGAGGAATTTTAGGGATTAGCTCAGGCTCAGCCACAAGGTTGTCTTTGTAGTTGATTAGAATAGGCTTTGCATTTCAGCTCTTGGATGCTTGAACTACACCCATCACACTATCTCAGAACAGTTCCGAATAGGAATTTTCAGGATACATTCCAAAATGGAAGATGATGCTTCTGACTTTGCACTTTTAAATTCAGTCAATTTTGCTATTACTAATTGGCTTCTTTGTAAATATTAAAGGCATCTGTGGGATTAAAAAAGTCTTCAACTAGCCTGAACATGTGTTTCAGGTAGTATAATGCAGATGAATGAACAAGGAAAGGTACCTGAGGCTTTAACCCAGTTCTGGCTTTGTTAGGAATTACCTGTGTGTCTTTAGGCAGTCAGCTAGCCTCTCAGGGCTTCACTTTCCTCTTTTACAAACTGTAAAGTATAATCTGAAGCAGTGATTCTTAATTTGGGCTACATGTTATAATCTCTGGGAATGCTTTAAAAGTCCTAATGCAAAAAAAAAAAAAAAAGTCCTAATGCCTAAAGCCTATCTCTAGAAATTGTGATTTTGTTATTTTGTTGTTCTGGGGTGAAGCCTGAGTTTTGTTGTGTTTTCATTTTGTTTTTAAATTCTGATGATTCCAGTGTACATCCAGGTCTCCAACTTTATAGTTCTGGAAGTTTAAGAACAACAACAACAGTAATAATAGTAGGCTGACTGATTTGGGTAGATTTGCTCATGAAATCATATGACAGGCAAAAAAAGAAAGAGCTTAACATTAATTGTAGAGCTGTTGCTATGTAGAGAGCACTATGCTAGACAGTGGGAAAATATAAAATCTCCCCTGTTAATACAGCCAAAGAAATAAGCAAACAAAACATAAGTGAAGCTCATTCCCTTTAGGAAAGGCCCATTTCCCAAAAGAGGTATTGTCTCTGTTTCTTCCAGAATTAAAGAGGAGCAGGGTGTAACACCTCAATTTTTAAAAATCCATTTATTGTAACAGGAGGACCTTTATAAGAGCAAAGTGGGATGAAATGACTGTTGTGGATTTTGAGGGGCTTAAACTGGATCTTAAGGTGAAAGGGGATACAGTCTGGAAGGGAGACAGAGGGAGCAGATTGCAGTGGAGAGAATGGTAAACAAGACATGATGATAGAAGGAGTCAGGAGGATAGGTGCAGCCGTCTTAAAAGGGCCCTGAATTCTTGGGTAGGGAGTTTCTATTTAATTCTGTAGCCAAGAGGGAAGATGAGAAGAGTAGCATCATCAGAACCATGCCTTAAGACTAATAATGTGGAAGAATGAATTAAAATAAATAAAAGAACAAGGGATACCACAAAACTTGCAGTCAGTCAAAAGGGAGGTAGAAGGGTTTACCCTGGAGTATGGTAGAGGAAATGAAATTGCAGGGACGTTTGGAAGGAAGAATTAGCTGTTTGATTTGATAGGAGGGGTGGAACAGAGTGAGGAATCAATACTGATGCACTTCTTCATATCATCAAGTGTTGGTGACTGGGAAAGAACATACCGCAGGTAGGAATATAGGGACGTAATACCTAAAAGGCGAGCTAGTTGGTGTATGCGGAAGATGATCTCAGTATCTTAAGTTTAAAGAACTTTCAAAGTATTCTTTTGATAGTGAGAACATGGACTGAAACTCAAGATAAAGGTCAGTGCTGGAGATAATAGTATGGGACAGGTCATCAAACCCTGAGTGTGGATGTGTTTTTTGAAGACCAAAAAGAGCAGAAGACCAAAGATTGGACCTCAAGGAAATCCATACTTAGGAGATTTAAGCAGAGAAGTAGACCAAAAAGAAAGTCATTGGGATAGAAAAACCTGGAGGGTTTTTGTTTTTTGTTTTTCTGAGGTCTTTTTTTGTTTTTTGTTTTTTAAGTAGGCTCCACACCCAGGATGGAACCCATCGCTGGGCTTGAACTCACAACCCTGAGATCAAGAACTAATTTAAGATCAAGAGTTGGATGCTTAGCTGTCAGGGCCACCTAGCTGTCCCAAAACCTGGAGTTTTAATAAAGCCTAGGAAAGAGGGACTGACAAAAGGGAGGAGGCAGCAGTGAGCCCTGTGCTTTGGAAGTCTAAGAGCATGACAAAAGGCCAGTGAATTTGACCGGTGGAGACCAGTGGGGATCACTGGGGCCTTTGCATTTCAGCATCTTTGTGAATGTAGTTCCCATCACAAGTAAGGTAAAAGCCAAACCCCTACACAGCTCACGCAGGGCCCCACAAGATCTGGCCTTGCCCCACCTCTCCTTGCTCCTCATCCTCACTGGTGACATGGGTTTTTTGTTCCTCAGACACTCCCAGCATGTGACTTCTTCCTCTGCACCTGCTCTTCCTTCTCTCTGTAGCCATCTCTGTCTCATCCCTCCCTCCTGTGGCTCACAGGCCTCTTCCAGCATGCTACTCAGATTTATCCTCCACACAAAGCCCTTCCTTGTGTGAAAAGCCACACCATATCCCTTTGTTATTCTCTATCCCCTTACCATGATTTCTTTTTTATTCGGGGCTGTACTGATGATTTTCTAGGGCTGCTATCACATTTTACCACAAACTGGGTGGCTTAAAACAACAGATGCTTATTCCCTTGCAGTTCCGGAGGCCCGAAGTCTGGAATCCTGGCGAAACCAAGGTGTCGGTGGGGTTCATTCTTTCTGGAGGCTCAGAGGGAAGATTTGCGCTGTCTCTCCTAGCTCGTATGTGCCCTGGCACTGTTGGGCGTACCTGACTTGCAGCTGCAGCCCTGTAGTCTCTGCCTTCATCCTCACATGGTGCTTTCCCTGTGTGTGTGTCTCTCTGCCCGCATTTCCCTCTCAGAAGGACACCTGTCATGGATCCGTCTGAGGATCAACTATGACCTCATCTTAATGTGATTGCACCTGCAAAGACTTAATTTTTTTATTTTTTAAAGATTTTATTTATTTATTCATGAGAGACACAGAAAGAGGCAGACACAGGCAGAGGGACAAGCAGGCTCCCCACAAGGAGCCCGATGTGGGACTCGATCCCGGATCCCGGGGTCACCCCGTGAGCCAAAGGCAGACGCTCAACCGCTGAGCCACTCAGGCATCCCAAAGACTTTATTTCTGGATAAGAAAGGTCACATTCTCAGGTACTGGGGTTTAGGAGTTCCGGCATATTTTGGGGGGGGGACACAACTCAATCTACAACAAGAATATGTACTATTATGTTACACACTTACTTATTTATGTGTTTGTGTTCTTTCAGGCACTGAAATATAAGCCCTTAGGACAGGGACACAGTTTTATTCGATGCTTTCTGGGTCCTGCCAGAGTGCCTGGAATGCTCACTATTGGTTGAATCAATGCCTCAGTGAAATTGGTCTCTGAAATAGAGGGAGATTTGGGTAATGAGGAAATAGGGAAAGTTGGTTAAAAAAGCCCTTCATTCAAGAAGCTTAGGAGGTTGAAAAAAGAACAAGGTAGTGGTTGACTCAAAGGATTCCAAAGATTGAGGCTTAGAGCTCACCTGTGAGCCACTTTCCCTATGAGACAGTTACTAGAGTCCAAGAAATACCTCTCAGGTCTGCAAGAGAAGAAAATGAATTTGTCAGCTTTTCTAGGTCCAGGAGAACTGACTTATAATAGACTAAAAAGAGATGAATCTGAGGCCAGAGTGCCATGTAATCATTAATGGGTGGCTCAAGAGCTAGGATTGATTTTCCTGCCAAGGGCAGTATATTCATTAATGATATCAATTTATGCACCCAAAGGTGCTTGATAAATATGGAAGTTTAGAGGCAGCAGAGTTTGATATTTCTCCAGGGATATTCTATCAAGTGATGGTAGCTGATGTACTCTCTTTTTGGGATGAGTTTTCCCAACTGTGAGAGCCACCTCCAAAGATTCTGGTATAGGCTTGAATACTTGAGGATCACTTGAGATTCGGTGTATTTAACAAGTTCTCCAGGTAATTCTCATGATCAGGCATTTTGGGAAATGTTACCTGGAATTGTTCTTAATCCTTAGTTAGTGGCAAATCCCAGCTTAGAATTAAGCCCAGTGGTCTCAACCGTGCCTACTGGGCTCCCACAATTAATTTCTTAGAATGAAGGTGTGTCTTTCTGCTTAGCAGTTGTCATACTTGGGAAATCTGCTTTCTGTGGGCTCAGTATATGCTTGAGTGACTCAGCAAATGAAACGCAGCCTTTTGATTATTCTCCCTCTCTTTTATTGGGGACTGATGGAAGGAACTTGATTTCTAAAATAAGTCCCTTTCCAATACAACTTGTGCTTCATTTGTAACTCAATAGTGAGTGACGGGAATTGAATCCCGATAGAATTCCAATTAGTAGATACAGAAAGAATGAATTTACAATCTGTAATGGAATAACAAATCTGGACCCTGATCACAAATGACTGCTAAAATCATTAGGTAAAAACTGTTGGGGAAGTTTATACTAGATGAAACGGATTGACAGTACCCAAAACCACTGACCAGAGACCATCACTAAGAGAGAGATTTTGCGTGCATCCTAATGTGATGCAGTAGGAAGAACAGAGCATCTCTTTCGACTGTTATTTCTAAATAACTAACTCAAATTTGAGCAAGCCTCTGGTCCACCTATTTAGAAAATACAGGGAATAGATGAATGTATTAAACCACATTTCATGTATTCAGTTGTTCAGATTCAGAAATAAGAGAATGTACAGCCTTGCTACTTCCAAACTGTGGACTGCAACCAGCGACATCGATAGCTCCAGAGAGCTTGTTAGAAATGCAGATTCTTGGCCAAATGAATGAGAATCTGCATTTTAACGAGATTCTTGGATCATTCTTATGTGCCTTAAATTTGGAGAAGCATTGTACTGGAAATGACCTCATGCTTTCAACAGACAATGGAAAGGAAAGAGAAAGAAGGGAACTGTTAAGTGATATGGAGGATATATTACTGCTTTGTTGGGCCTGCCGGACTGAATGATGCCCAGTATTGTCAATAGGAAAAGAGATTTAGGGGATGTGTTCTAATCATCACTACAGTCAAATGATGGCTTGTAGTGGAAGAGCCTTGGTATGGGGATCCCTGTTAATATGCTGCCGACTTGGTTCTCACACTAGAGTATAATCGTGTTTCAGACGATTCAGAAATTCAGTGCAGAACTTGAGTATGTGACATCTCTATTGTCCCCAAAGTTTGAAAAGAGTACAGGCTTGTCTTACCTTTAATCTATTTCAGATGTTTTTCTCTGAACTTCAGAAGTTTTGTTTTTGCCTGAACAAACTTCAGAGCCTCTTGAGCCCGTTCCCATTTCTAAAAGGACATTGGATTGGATCTCAAGGAGTCTGTCCAACACTCAATTTCTAGGATAAATAAATCATTTAAAAATCTCAAGTGTATATGACTAAGATAGTGTATGTGACTAAGGATAGTCATCAAATTGAATGAAAAACCAAGGCAGACTGTCTTCATCAGCCAGACCTTTCCTTGTCCACACTTTTCACATATGTCTAAGATCTTGATGCCAAATTACAGGGGCGGGAGGGTGGAGAGAATTGCATCAGCTGGCTGTGCGGTGGTCCAAGGAGACCCTTTGAGCTGTTGACCCAGGGCTTAGGTGACGTAGTTGAGCCCATCCTTGTTTTACCTGCCAGGCATGACTAGATGGGAGGGGTCCAGAAATTGGTCTACCATATGTTTATTTCTTTACAAGTTTTACTTTCCAGAAGTATTTTAAATTGCCCATGCTACTTAAGTAGCAGAGTTTTATATTTTGCTTTAAAATGTTGGTTTCCTTTTTTATATGATGTCTTTCAGAATTTGCCCACTTTTCTTGTATAACTAATTCTGATGGCTGGGAATAAAGGACGTGGACGTGCAGCTTATACCTTTAATATTGAGGCAGTTGGATTTGGCAGAGGTGAAAAGTTACCTGATGTAGTATTGAAACCACCCCCGCTATTTCCCGTAAGTACATTGGAAAGTGGATTTTTCAGGATTTGTTTTTTCGTGTTTCAAAGAAAATTAAAATTCTATATAGGACTGAATACAGGATATCATTGTAATATTTAAATGTAAGAAAGTAAAAGAGTGATTTGCTGCTGCAGTTCTTACCTGAACCTCTTCTAATTTTAACAGTGCTTTCTTAAAACACAGAAAAAACTGTGTACACCTTTTCACAAATCTACTCAGTACTATGTGAACTAAGAAAGAATTTTTTTTTCAATTCCTGCATATTCTATTGCTATTTTTGATGTATTCCAACATCAAAATAATATTTCTGAAAGTCAGGCTAGGTTTTGCAAAGATCCCCAATGGACCTTACTCTACCAGACTTTCACTTAATGATTTTCTTCTCATCTTGTATCTACAGAATTTGATTTTGCTCCGTAGTATACCATTTGGTCTTTTATTCCCTACTCAACCTTTTTTTTTTTTTTTTTTTTTGCTTCTTTCTCTATTTTTAAAAAGTCAGTGTGAATTTTGTTTCTCACAATCTAAGTGTTCCTACTGCATTTAGTGTTGCTTTTAAATTTAATAAGTATGCTGTAAACTTAATTGATGTAATGTTTAATCTAATGCTTTCACTTTGCATTTAGTTTAAAACATAAGCTTACACTTCCAGGTATGTATATGCTGCAGTATAAAAAAATGAAAAAAATCATAAATAACCAGATATCCCTCAATCCAAGAAGCTTTCCCCTATTTTTTTTTTTTTTGGAAGTTTAGAGGCAGTTTTCTCCGCCAGATGAATGAGAATCTGCATTTTAACGAGATTCTTGGATCATTCTTAATGTGCCTTAAATTTGGAGAAGCATTGTACTGGAAATGACCTCATGCTTTCAACAGACAATGGAAAGGAAAGAGAAAGAAGGGAACTGTTAAGTGATATGGGAGGATATATTACTGCTTTGTTGGGCCTGGGCTGAAGGCAGCCCTAAACCGCTGAGCCACCCGGGCTGCCCAACTTTCCCCTATTTCAAAAGGGAAAAATCCCTTGTCAAAAGATATATGTAAGCTGGGACGCCTGGGTGGCTCAGCAGTTGAGTGTCTGCCTTCAGCTCAGGTCATGATCCTAGAGCCCTGAGATTGAGTCCCACTACAGGCTCCCCACCAGGGAGCCTGCTTCTCCCTCTGCCTGTGTCTCTGCCTCTCTCTCTCAAGAATAAGTAATAAAAAAAAGATTTATGTAAGTATAGGACCCTGAACAAATGTATCTAGGGATGTAGGTGTCATATATAGGGAGTGTCTATTTTTTGCTCTTGATATTTGCCTTTCTGATATTTAGTATAGCCTGAAACAATAATAAACATCTCATGTATAGGCGTACTGTCACTTTATACATTGATTTATTTTATTTTTTTTAAAGATTGTATTTATTAAAATTTATAATTTTAGGCGTCCCTACATTGATTTCTTTTAAAATAAGCTCTTCTCATATGTGAGGTCACTTCTAAACACTGGTAATATTAATACTTATTGTTGTTTTATACTTGTAATTAAATTGAATTCCTTGCTGCTGGCAAACTGTCTCTGTTTGATATGGCCTTGCTGATGTCTCTCTAACTTTTCCTATCGCAGTCCTTCTCTGTCCCTAGCCATCTTGGTCTCTGTGTTCTCTCAGATGTTTTCCTCTGCTAGTTTTCCTGGCTGGAACCATCTGTTTTCACGTCTTTCCATGATGGCTTCCTAATTTTATCCAGAGCTCTGCTCAAGGTGACTTCCTGAGAGGTCATGTGTGCTTATCTTGTCTAGACTAGCTACCTTCAACCTTCATGTACTCAGTTGGTCACTCTTTCCTCTACCCAGCTTCATTGTTTTCATGCCACTTATCACTACCTGAAACTGTGTATTTCCTCACTATTTCCTTATATCTTGTGTTTTTCTTCCCTAGAATGTAAGTTCCATAAAGGTAAGAAGTATCTCTTATTGTCTAACCATGTTTGGCTTATAGTAAGCACTTAATAAATAGTTGTAGAATGAATGAATAGATTCAGAGTGAAATTTTGAAAATGTACCCTATATTTAGCTCTGGTACTAGAAATGTCTTTTTTTTTTTTTTTTTTTTTTTTTTTAAGAAATGTCTTTACTGAAACACCTGGGTGGCTCAGTGGTTGAGCATCTATCTGCCTTTGGCTCAGGTCATGATTCTGGGATCAAGTCCCCTATCGGGCTCCCCACAGGGAGTCTGCTTCTCCCTCTGCCTATGTCTTTGCCTCTCTCTCTGTGTCTCTCATGAATAAATAAATAAAAATCTTTATTTAAAAAAAGTCTACTATAGGGATCCCTGGGTGGCGCAGCGGTTTGGCGCCTGCCTTTGGCCCAGGGCACGATCCTGGAGACCCGGGATCGAATCCCACGTCGGGCTCCCGGTGCATGGAGCCTGCTTCTCCCTCTGCCTGTGTCCTGCCTCTCTCTCTCTCTCTCTCTCTCTCTCTCTCTCTCTGTGACTATCATAAATAAATAAAAAAAATTAAAAAAAAATTAAAAAAAATAAAATAAAAAAAGTCTACTACATACCCTGAGGCCCCACTTTTTAATAAATATATATTTTTAAAATATATGTGCATATACATATATGTGCGTGTTTGTAATTCTTTAAAATTGAAGACTTAGAGGGGCACCTGAGTGGCTTGGTCACTTGGGCATGTGACTCTTGATTTCAGCTCAGGTCATGATCTCAGGGTCATGGGATCAAGCACCATCGTTCTCTCTTCTTCTCCCTCTGCCCCTTGCCTGCTTGCACATGCTCTCTCTCTCTCTTTCTCTACTGTCTTAAAAAAAAAATTGAAGATGTAGATTCAAACCCCTGCTTTGTCATTTACATGTCATATGAGCTTATAGATTGTTTGCTTCACAATTTATTTATTGTTGAAGAGAAAATATTGATGATACTTTAAATGGGATCATGGATGATATTAAGGACATCCTGGTTAGCATAACTACTTGCTAAGTAATAGCTGCTACTTTTAATCTTTTTTTTTTTTTTTAAACTACTACTCCCATCAATACCACAGCTACTAATTGAGGTTAATAGGAAACTAAAGCAGTAGCTCTCATTTGGGTGGCTTAACTTCTAAAGTGTGTAATCACGGTCAACAGACTGTTAACAAAATAATAGGTGTGGTCAGTAGGAAAATTAAACAGCTTTCCTACCTCTAAAATCAGAGCAAAGTAGGAAATAAGCTAAAAGGTTAAAAAGATTACAAAAGCTCAACATCTTTTCAGTTGATTGTAAAACTTAGTGCCTGTAAAATGTAGTTTTTCAATAAAACTAACATTTTCCTGTTTATAGACAAAAAGGGATATTTAAAAAAATTATTTTAAAAAATTATCTCTTAAAAAGGATACAGATTATAAACCAGTGCCACTGAAAGCAGGAGAGGGTGAAGATTACATGCTGGCCTTGAAACAGGAGTTGAGAGAAACTATGAAAAGAATGCCTTATTATATAGAAACACCCGAAGAAAAACAAGGTGGGTATTGGACTCTTTGATTATATAGTTGAATGTATACAGATGAAACAATGTTTCATGGTCATTTAATGCTGATTGATAGATTTACTTCAATCAGAAATTATCCACCACCTTGAAAAAGCATGCTTAATGTTGATTTAACAGAAAATGTATTTTAAACTTTTTGATACTTTATTTTTAAAATTACCTTTCAAGAGAAGTTTCATATGTTTGGTGAAAATGGTGAAAAACAAAAATATTAAAAAGTAAAAATCACCTGTATTGCTTATGTGTAGAGATCTACTATTAATATTTTATTGGATATTCTAGATTTTTTTCTTTTTATAAAATTGGATTCACAGTCCTTTTATCTTTCTTTTCTACCCAATATCATGTTATTACCATTTTCACATATCCTTAACATTCTTAGAAAATATGATTTTTAATGGCTATGTTGTATTTTACTGTGTGTGTGTGTATATATATATATAGCATTATTAATTGTAAGTAGTTCTGATGTTACATTTAAAGTGTTTTTTTGCTCATATATGTGTTACTATCCTTGTACATAAATCTTTATGTAAGTCTCTGATTATTTAGTATTTTGTTTGAAACTTTTAAAAGCCTTGACTGTATTTTTGCTTATGATTTGTATGTCAGATATAATAGGAAACATGAAGCTTGTACTTAATGGTTATGCCAAGGACAGAGAAGAGAAATTACAATTGGAGAAGGCTTTATAGTCTCAGACAGGGAGTGGGAAGTGGTTTTAGAGGAAGAGAACCCATTCCTGAGTAGATATTTAGCACAGTAGATCTATATTGATTTTCAGTTTCTGCCCTCAAAGGTTGAAATTAGAGAGATCAATATCATCCTTGAGTTCCCCAAACAACATCATTAAAGCATGAGAAATTCATACAGTGTCATCTCATTCCATTAGTATTAAAAATGCATTCCATTTTCACTCTCTCTAAATGACTTAGAACTGGCTAAGAGTCAAAAAGAAAGTCTTATATAGTAATATTATCTGTGCTTGTAATTATAAGAAGCATTTTAGACAGGTTCGTTTAATTTATCAAACATAGCTGCTTGAAGTTGATATAATGGTTTTATAAGACATTTTTATCTCAAAAATACTGAATTCTTTTTTACTTTCATGATTATGTTATATGCTTTTATCTGAGTTCAAAAATGAAATTAAAGCTCTTGTTTTAAAGATTTAAAAAAGTAAGATTAAATGAATTAATAAACATCTATTCTTAGTAGAAAAAATAATAGTATAGGGTATAATCTTTTTAAAATTAGTGTTTTCTCTAGACCATGGAACAGATTTACTTAACTAGTGTGGTCATTATTAAATCATGGGTCTAATTTACAAGTATATCATATTTGAAAATATATCTGTGAGTCTTTTAGACTGGGACTTTAGGAACATAATTTTGTTGCTGGTTTGTGGTAATGGTTGGTTTGTATCTGGATTAAGAGGCTCTTTATCTTTGATAACTTCACAAAGTATTTAAAAAGACAAGGAATCTTTGTTTCTTTTTCTATATGGAGAAAATGTTTATGTAGATTTTTCCAAATTGAAACAAGACCTTCTCTTTCAAAATACTCATATTTACTTTTCTTTTCTGATGTTTTTAAAAAACTAGGTTAAAATGAAGTTTTTTTAAAAAGCATACATATATTTATGTGTGTTTGTAGGTTAATATATATATGCATATAATGTGTGTTTATATATATACTCATATATAAAATGTTTATGTACTGTGCACACCATGAATGAGAAAGAATCAGCCAGACTGAACAAAATTATGCAACTGTCAGAGGAAGCTATATTCTTGGTCCTGTTGTATCACCGTTTCCTCATCAGCCTTCTCCTATCACCTACCACTTATGTACATCAGAAAGGAGAGACTTAGGGACTAATGTAAAGAACTAAATAAGGTCTCAAGGCTTCCTCATTGTCAAGTGGCTAGTGGCTCAGGGCAATGAGATCACAAAGAACTGAGGGCATAGAATAAAAATATTTCTTGTGATGTCACAATTTGTTTATAATGTTTTTGGGTAGAATTATAGAAATTATTGGTGCTTTCTTTACAATGAAATTTATCTTTTTTAAGAAAAGATTTTACTTATTTATTCATGAGAGACACAGAGAGAGAGGCAGAAACAGGCTTCCTGCAGGGAGCCCGACATGGGACTCGATCCCGGGTCTCCAGGATCAGTCCCTGAGCCGAAGGCAGCACTAAACCGCTGAGCCACCTGGACTGCCCCAAAGGATTTTTTTTAATGGGGAAAAAAAAGGAAAGAAAACTCATTTTATCTTAACATTACCATATTGGCCCATTGGACTCTTATAAATCTAATTGTTCTGGAATATTAGTGATCTTATTTTTCCTTCATCCTTAAACATCTTACTATTTCATCAGTATAGATATTATTTCATCATTACTTGTGAATTATTCCCCCCATCCTGGAAGATAAAAGATTAAAATATCCAAAAAAAAAAAAAAGGAAAAATGATGAAGTTGCATTGAAGGGTGGTGCAGTATTGAAATAAAATCAGCACTATTACATTTTCTTTTAGTGTTTCTATTGTGTTGCACATAGTATTACATTAATTTTTAGGAAGCTATAAAAGAAGTCTAGAGAGACTCTTGTCTTCGTGGTTGTTTTGTTTGTGTTTTAGTATTCATAGAATATAATTGAGATTTCAGAATTGTTCATTTTCTGCCCATAATGGCAAAGAGAAGAAAATTGAGAGAGGAAGATGTTATACAATCACTAGACAAATCAGAATATGAATGTAGAAGCAGTAGCTCTTTGGATGCTAACAATGATTGTGAAATTGATTGTGTAAGTGAAATCTCTGAGTTTCAGATGACAATATTCTAGATGAATTTTCTCAAACTCAGGAGTCAGTGGGTAAAGAATATATCTCTAAGAATAAAAAGGAAATATGGCATCCTCACACAACAGTCCTTGAAAAGTGCCTCATCACATATTTTGTGATAAGAACGTGGAACATCCTGTTTGTCAAAATGACGTGACCATATTTTTCTTTTTTATGATGTTTACATACCAAAAGTTATTTGATATAGTTTATAACTGGAGAAATGCTGAAGGCAAAGACAAAGATGATCAAGAGGAAATAGGTTATGTAGAAATGAAACAATTTGTTGGATTGATCATGTTAATTGGTAATTATAAATTTAATAATGAAAATGTTTTATAATTATAGACCAAAGAAGATGGCCGGGCCATCCTCATTTCAACACAGCTGTGAGCCATCAAAGCTTTTTACATTACAAAGTATTACATTTTGAAGATGCGAATATAAGAATTGGAAGCTATAATCTATTAGAAATGTTTTTCTAATCTAGAATCATTTGATGCCTTTTTGGTTATAGCCACTCCACTGGGTATAAAGTGGCATCTCGTTGTGATTTTGATTTGAATTTACGAAGTAGCTATGATGTTGAACATCTTATGTGCTTTTTACTATGCATATCTTTGGAGAAATGTCTGTTCAGATCCTTTGCCTCTTTTTAACTGGATTTCAGTAGTTGATTTTCAATATTGCTTATTCTTCTAGAAGCTTACTACTGAAGGTTAAATTTTTCCAAAATATACAATCTGTTGTGGAGAAAAATTTTAAATGCAAATCTGTCATTTGCATCGACTTCTTTTACCAATGAAAAGCTTGATAATGGGGCTTGAGAGCGGGGTGCCTGGGTGGCTCAAGTGTTTGACTTTAGCTTGGGTCGTATGTACTCTCGGGTCATGGTCTCGGGGTCCTGGAATTGAGCCCGACATCGGGCTCCCAGCTTGACAGGGAGGCTACTTCTCCCTTTCCCTCTGACCCTCCTCCCAACTTGTGCTCTCTCTGTCTCAAATAAATAAAACCTTGAAAAATAAGTAAATAAATAGCTTGAGATCAAGATTGAAGTCAAAATAGTTAAATACCTAGAAAAGCTTGGTTTCTTGGTCTTACTGATCCACTATTTATTTTAGTTATCTTTGTTTAACACTATGGTCTTAGTATTATTTGGAATCATTTTCTTAACACAGAAGAGAAATCAGTACATATATGGGCCTTGCTTTTTATGTTTTCATCTTTTGTATTAATTTCCCTATTTCATGGCTATACTCCTCAACCACATTTTATGATGAACCACGTTTTTAGGCTATGGCACTATAGTGTTGCTTGCCAACTTACATTGCTAGGAAAGGGTTTGGGCCCCCATTGAGGGAGTTTCTTGTGGCAAAGTGAACAAAGCAGTAACAAGAACCACTCCATTTTGGGCAAGCACAGAAGGTCCCTGCAGAATTGTCAGTAGTTGGCATAGAAGCTTGCAGCTTGTTCTTTCATACCCCACCAACCTTACTTTCTCCTACCCTTTTCTCCATTCTCCTCAATGGGTTGTGAAGAGTAGCTCGTTGAGAAGCCTAACTGTGTTTTAATATGTGTATCAAGCACTGAAATTGACCATACAGCTCTCCATCCTCACTTAGGTAGTTAATACGTCCCAGTTACACAAGATTTGAAGAGTGGAAGCTGGAGCCAGTGTCACAAGACTTTCTGCTCTTTTATGTAGGTGACTTACTGACCTGGCTTTGGGCTTTTGTGAATAATCTCAGAGATGAATCAAGTTATCTGATTTTAAAAACCATGATTAGGGGCAGCCCCGGTGGTGCAGCGGTTTAGCGCCGCCTGCAGCCCGGGGTGTGATCTTGGAGACCTGGGATCGAGTCCCATGTCGGGCTCCTTGCGTGGAGCCTGCTTCTCCCTCTGCCTGTGTCTCTGCCTCTCTGTGTCTCTCATGAATAAATAAATAAAATCTTAAAAAAAAAAAAAAACATGATTAGGGTTTAGGTTTCTGCTCACTCCCAGCTATTCATACCCAATTGCTTCTTGCCACTTCCTTAAACATATAATATTTATTGAACTTTTCAATAGGTGTTTAGGAACACCTATTGAAATATGTGTGTACAAATATAGGAGATTCCCTGTGTGTGAAATAAAAGATGTTATCTGGTGTTTTTAGTTATGGAATGGCTTAAATCCAGGCTTATTCTTGACTTTTCTAATGAACACTTTCTTATTTTTTTATAGATATTGAAAGATATAGTAAAAGATATATGAAGGTGTACAAAGAGGAGTGGATACCAGGTAATTATAAAACTGAAAATATTGGGCAGTCCAGGTAGCTCAGCGGTTCAGTGCCACCTTCAGCCCAGGGCATGATCTCGAAGACCTGGGATCAAGTCCCATGTCAGGCTCCCTCCATGGAGCCTGCTTCTCCCCCTGCCTGTGTCTCTGCCCCTCTCTCTCTCTCTCTCTCTCTCTCTCTCTCTCTGATGAATAAATAAAATCTTTAAAAAAAAAACCCTGAAAATATTAAAATAATTTTTAAAGTTTATCTCCTTACTCCATATATTTTAAGGAAATTTTTCTATTTTCACCATAGGAATTTTTGCTATAGGAAAGTAGGCTGGTTCTTTTCTGATAATTAATTAGTAATGCATATCCTTTGAAAACTAGGATGAAAAGATTTTTATATTTTAACAAGGAAGAGTTGAAGTGTTTTTGAAGTTTTAGAATACTCTTCTATAAAACAGGACTTGCTAAACCCATTTGAGCTTTCCATTTCCATTTACTGCAATCATAATTTTAATCTACAGTACCAGTAATACTTCTGTGTTTGTGGGGGATTTTATAGCTTTTGAGGAGAAAACAAGTCTAGTTAAAGGATATTTTAAGCCAAGCTCATCGATCTTCCTTTCTTTCAAGCAGACATAGACTATTTTTATTTATTAAGATGCCTTTTCAATAAAACCATATCTAAGAGATTTTTTTTCAACATTCACAAATTTCCCTTAGACACAGGCAAGATGCAAGAGGTCAGAGAGATTTCATCCAGCTCTTTCCTTTTGCAGATTAAAAAAAAAAAAAAACCCATAGAAATGGAGTGATTTATCAAGATGATTTGAACAGTAGTACTAGAACCCAGGTCTTCTCATTTTAACTCACTTCCCTTTGACTTCTCTGTCTTTGGTGTTTTGTGAAAACTGCATTTATGTAAGAACATAAATGGCATTTACAGCATTATTGCTTGCATGGGTTATAGTGGTCCTTTCAGTGTGGATCATTGAAAAGCTTGAGTTTCCCTTGAACACTCTCCAATCTCCTATTTCAGTTCTTTCATAGCTGCCACATCATAAATATTAATCTCCTGAAGGATTCTCTTTACATACATTTTCATGATTATCTATGTCACTTATAAAAGCAGAAATAGGGCAGCCCAGGTGGCTCTTCGGTTTAGTGCCTGCCTTCAGCCTGGGGCATGATCCTGGAGTCCAGGGATCGAGTCCCGTGTCGGGCTCCCTGCATGGAGCCTGCTTCTCCCTCTGCCTGAGTCTCTGCCTCTCTCTGTGTATGTCTGATGAATAAATAAATAAAATCTTTAAAATAAATAAATAAATAAAAATAAAAGCAGAAATATATTCAAAGCCAAATTTACTAGTTCAGGCTAAATAGCTTGAGATAGAAATGTTTTCTTTTTTTTTTTTTTTTTTTTTTTTTTTTTATAATTTAAGTTTTTTTATTTTCTTTTTTTTTAAATTTTTTTATTTATTTATGATAGTCACAGAGAGAGGGAGAGAGAGGCAGAGACACAGGCAGAGGGAGAAGCAGGCTCCATGCACCGGGAGCCCGATGTGGGATTCGATCCCGGGTCTCCAGGATCGCGCCCTGGGCCAAAGGCAGGCGCCAAACCGCTGCGCCACCCAGGGATCCCTAGAAATGTTTTCTACAAAATACACTGAGTCTTTATTAGTAGGCAGTGTTGTTTTTTGTTTTTGTTTTTGTTTTTAGATTATTTATTTATTCATGAGAGACACAGAGAGAGAGAGAGAGAGGCAGAGAGACACAGGCAGAGGGAGAAGCAGACACATGCAGGGAACCCAATGTGAGACTTGATCCCGGCACTCTGGGATCATGCCCTGGACGGAACGCAGATGCTCAACCACTGAGCCACCTAGGCATCCCCAGGCACTGTTTGTTTGTTTATCTATCTATCTATCTATCTATCTATCTATCTATCTATCTATCTTTATTATTTTTTTTCCAGGCAGTGTTTTTTAATCCATTTTCGTGTTGCTTCATTTTTCTGATTAATTCTGTGCTTAAAAAGGAAAAGAAAGTGAGGTGTCTGGGGGGCTCAGTCAGTTGAGCATCCTACTCTTGGTTTTGGCTCAGGTCATGATCTCAGGGGTAGGACTGAGCCTCTCATTGGGCTCTGCATTTAAAGGGGAATCCCTCTCCCTCTGCCCTTACCCCCACTCGTACGTGTGCACGCTCTCTCTCTAAAATGAATAAGTAAATCTTTTTAAAAAATTGAAGGAAAATGACAAATTAGAGGCATTATTTAGCTAATTCAAGAAAAAAATTATAGTTGTTTTATTTAAGAGGGAGAGTATAGGAGGAGGAGTAGAAGGAGAGGGGGAGAGGAAATCTCAGGCAGACTCCTCACGGGGCTCAATCTCAGGAGCTGAAATCAGGAGTGTGAGGTTCAAGTGATAGAGCCACGCAGGTGCCCCCAGGCAAAATTATTTATTAGAGAGAATTTACTTTTCCATAGCTATTTATATTTTTAGTTATAAAGTTTTTGCATAATTATTAGAATTATTTATTTAATTTTGCATGTGTTGGGATTGTGGTCATATATTTTAACTTGCCTTATTATGTAAGAAATACATATCAACTATAGAAAACAAACAAAATACAGCATAGTCAAATAATAAATAATGCATAGGAAAAGCAGCTGCAATCCCAACACCCACTAAGAATTATTGTGATATTTGTTCCCAACCTGGAGGTTTCTCTACACAAATATTAGATATATAAAAATATTTACATGTTACACCTGGGTGGCTCAGCAGTTGAGCATCTGCCTTTGGCTCAGGGCATGATCCCAAGGTCTGGGGATCGAGTCCTGCATCAGGATCCCCTTGAGGAGCCTGCTTCTACCTCTGCCTGTGTCTCTGTCTCTCTCTGTGTGTCTCTTATGAATAAATAAATAAAATCTTAAAAATATATATATTTATATGAATTATTTTTCTTGTTATGAAAATTTCTGTATTTAAAATTGACTAGATAGGGGTGCCTGGGTAGTTCAGTTGGTTAAGCATCTGCCTTAGGCTCAGGTCACGGTCTCAGGTTCCTGGGATCAAGCCCCACGTTAGGCTCCCTGCTCTGCTCCCTCTACTCATGTATGCTCTCTTTCTCTCCCTCTCAAAGAAATAAATAAAATCTTAAAAAATAAATTAAATAAATTAAATAAATTAAATAAATACTATGTAGCTGTTAAAAGAATGTTATAGAAATTTTATAGCACCATTTCAAAGTTGTTGTTTTTAGGTTTATTTATTTTATTAATAATCTCTGCATTCAGCAGGGGGCTTGAACTCACAACCCCAGGATCAGAGTCACATGCTCTACTGCTGAGCCAGCCAGATGCCCCCCAATTTTTTTTAATGAACTCTTTCTTCTTCATAGGAGAAAATACATCACTATTATCTTTTGATTCCCAGGCTCAATTCAGTCAGATATTAAGAAATTTTATTTTCATTGCAGAAGCAACTATCATGTCCTTTAAATTTTTTTTAAAGATTTGTTTTTTTACTTGAGAGAGGGGTGGATAGAGGCAGAGGGAGAGAGAATCTTAAGCCCTGGGGCTTAATCTCACAACCTCAGATCATGATCCGAGCCAAAACCAAGAGTCCGATGCTTAACCTACTGTGCCATTGGGCACCCCTGTTATGTCCCTTATTATTTTTAAAATATTTTGTTTATTTATTTGAGGGAGAGAGGGGCAGAGAGAGAGCTCGAGCAAAGGAAGGAGCAGAGGGATAGGGACAAGCCGATTCCCTGCTGAGCGGGGAGCCCAACTCAGGGCTCTATCCCAGGACCCTGACATCTTGTCCTAAGTCTAAATCAGATTTTCTTAACTTACTGAGCCACACAGGTGCCCCCTGTCATGTCCTTTAGTCATGTTGAGTGCCACTAACCACTAGAAGAAATTACAATTTTTTTTCTTTTGTACATGCAGATTGGAGAAGACTCCCAAGAGAAATGATGCCAAGGAAGAAGTGCAAAAAAGGTACATTGACTAATGTAATAATCTAGGTTAAAAAAGGTTATTTATTGCTCAAATTCTAATTATGGAATTATCAATCTGAAGTTACACTCAGTGTTCTGAATGCTTTTTCTTAAGATACGTTTGGCATTTAGTTATTTCATTAAATCTTTTTGTTGTTGATTTTTGTTTTGTTTTTGTTTGATTGTTTCTCCTTTCTTTAATTATGGAATTTTGATGTGTTAAGAAAGATTTTTCAAATATGCAGACATTTTTTCAATTTGAAATTTTGCATATTTGAAATTCTTTTAGTGGTTATACTGTCCATATTTTAAGGTTTTTTTAAAAAAAGATTTTATTTATCTGATAAAGAGAGAGAGCCAAAGAATGACAGGGGATGGCAGAAAGGGAGCGAGAAGCAGGCTCCCTGCTGAGCAGGGAGCTGGATGTGGTGCTGGATCCCAGGCTCCTAGGATCATGTCCTGAGCTGAATGCAGACATTCAGCCAACTAAGCCACCCAGGCACCCCTATATTTTAAGTTTTTAACTAAAACATTCATAACTGGTAAAATTTGAGAACTGGTAGATTAGAACTTTATGTTGTACATAAAATACCAAAGTGAAAGTTTCCAGCGTGTTGTTCTTTCATAATTCCACTGAGTAAAAAGTTGTTGAGCAACTACTATTGCCAGACACTGTGTTAAAAGGAATAAAACAGTAAGCCAAGTGGGAATAATCCTTGCCCTAATGGGGCTTACCGTTCAATGGAGTAAAAATATTGACCAAAAACACAATGTCCTCATTTGGAGGTCAGGGGAGTTTTTTTGAGGAAATGGAATTGAAGTCCAGATTGAATGATGAGTAGGACTTGGGCGGGATGTGGTTGGTGGGAGAATGTTGGAGAAAGACCAGGTTTGTGAGGGGTAAGTCATGAGCAGTTTAAAGGTAATGTTTAAGGTTCCTTTGAAATATACAAATAGAAGTGTTGAGCATGTTGTTGGATACAGGGTGGGTGGGCCTCAAAATGGAGATGATAGTGATCAGCGTAGATAATGTAATTCAAACTATGAGGAAGGAAGGATGAGATTATCTGGGGTAAAATTAGAGAATTAGAAGAAATGAGGGCCCAAGCCTAAACTTGGAGGAGTGCCAAAATCTAGTAGGCTCATAGAGGAGATTCAATCAGCAAAGAAAAGATATGGAAAGAAAGAGGAGAGGAAAAGGAGAACCCAAGAAAGTGGAGTTGCAGAAGCAAAAATATGCAAGAAGTAGAGACTATTTTAGGTCACGTGAGCGGCTCAGTTGGTTAAGTGTCTGCCTTCAGCTCAGGTCATGATCTCAGGGTCCTGGGATCGGGCCCCAAATAGGGCTTCCCTACTCAGTGGGAAGTCTGCTTCTCCCCCTGCTTGTGCTCTGTCAAATAAATAAATAAAATATTTAAATTAAAAAAAAAATGTCAAAATTAGTTTACATTTTCCAATCTTTATTTTACTTGACCTCACAGCAATTTTGCGTAACCTCCTTTAACACTGTTGATCACCTTTTGAAACAGACTTTACTTCTTTTTTTCCTTTAGCCTGTTAATGTGGTAGATTATGTTAATTGATTTTGGAAGGTTGAACTAGCCTTACATACCTATGATAAATCCTACTTAGTTGTGACATATTATTCTTTCCATACATTGTGGGATTGGATTTGGAAATATTTTATTGAAGATTTTCACTTATATTTTCATGAGAGGTACTAGTTTTCTATTTTGTTTCTTGTAATATTTTTCTGGTTTGAAGCCTGGAGACTTCAAATCCCCATACTTTGGAGATTCTTATAGAGGCTTCATTATATAGATTTGATCACTCATTAACTCAATCTCCTGTTCCTCTCCCCTTGCCCAGGGAACGTGGAATGGAGCTGAAAATTACAGTCTATTAGTTATGGTTTTTTCTGTCTTTTGACCAACCTCCATCCTGAAGCTATTCAGGGGCCCACCAAGAGTTCCATTCTTAGATCAAAAGGTACTCCTATCACCCAGTAAATTCCAAGGGATTAGGAACTCTGGCAGGAACCAATTTCAAAGACTAAGTATTAAAACAAAACATGCTCCTAGTGTTCTTATCACTTTGGAAATTATAAGAGTTTTAGGAGTTCTGTGCCAGGAACCAGAAACAGAGACCAATATATATTTTTTTCTATTATTTCACAGAATCCTTTATCAGATCTGTCTTTTGCAAATATTTTCTCCCAGTCTGTGGTTTGTTTTCTCATTCTCTTGACATTATCTTTTATAGGGTGGAATTTTTAAATTTTAATGAAGTCTAGCTTATCAGTTATTTCTTTCATAGACTGTGGCTAGCTTTGGCGGTGTATCTAAGAAGTCATCACCAAACCCAAGGTCATCTAGATTTTCTCCTATGTTATCCTTTAAGAGTTTTATAGTTTTGTGTTTTGCATTTAGGTTGTGATCCATTTTGAGTTCATCTTTGTGAAGGATGTAAGGATGTACCTAGATTTATGCAACACCATTTGTTGAAAAAACTATCTTTTCTCCATTGTACTGCCTTTGCTTCTCTTTCTATTTTTATATGGGTCTATTTCTGAGCCCTTTATTCTGTTCCATTGACCTGTATTTATTCTTTCACCTTTACCACACAATCTTGATTACTGTAGCTTTAGAGTATGTTTTAAAGTCCAGTAATATCAGTCCTCCAATTTTGTTCTTTCCTTTAATATTGTGTTGGCTATTCTGGATCTTTTGCCTTTCCATACAAACATTAGGAACAGTTTGTTGATATTGTAAAATGACTTACTAGGATTTTGATTGAGTTTGCTTTGAATCCATAGATGAGGTTGGGAAGAACAATCATCTTGATAATACTGAGTCTTACTCTCCATGAACATGCAGTAGGTGTCCATTTATTTAGTTCTTTGATTTCATTCTTCAGAGTTTTGTGGTTTTCTTCTAGACTGTATACACATTTTGTTAGATTTATATCTAAGTATTTCATTTTGAGGCGTGCTAATGTAAATAGTATTAGATTTTTTATTTTGAATTCTGCTTGTTTATTGTTGGTATACAAGAAAGCTATTGACCATTGTGTATTAACCTTGTAGCTTGCAACCCTTCTATAATTGGTTATTAGTTTTCAGAGTTTTGGCTCATTCTTTCAGATTTTCTGCATAGATGATCATGTCATCTGTGAATGAAGACAGTTTTATTTCTTCCTTCTCAATCTGTTGAAAGCAGTGATATTACGGAACTTTTTTACCTTGTTCCTAATCTTAGTGGGAAAGTGTCAAACTTCTCACCATTAAGTATGATGTAGCTATAGGATTTTTTTGTAGCTGTCTTTTTTTTTTAAGATTTTACTTAATATAGGATCCCTGGGTGGCGCAGCGGTTTGGCACCTGCCTTTGGCCCAGGGCACGATCCTGGAGACCCGGGATCGAATCCCACATCGGGCTCCCGGTGCATGGAGCCTGCTTCTCCCTCTGCCTGTGTCTCTGCCTCTCTTCTGCCTCTCTCTCTCTCTCTCTCTCTCTCTCTCTCTCTCTGACTATCATAAATAAATAAAAATTAAAAAAAATAAACCTTTAAAAAAAAAAGATTTTACTTAATATATTCATGAGAGTCACAGAGAGAGAGAGAGGCAGAGGCAGAGGCAGAGGGAGAAGCAGGCTGCCCATGGGGAGCCTGATGTGGGACTCAATCCCTGGACCCCAGAATCACTACTTGAGCCAAAGGCATATGCTCAACCACTGAGCCACCCAGGCATCCCTGTAGGTGTTCTTTATCAGCTTTAGGAAATTCCCCTCTACTCCTTGTTTACTAAGAATTTTTTTAGTCATGAATAGGTGTTTGATTTTGTCAAATGCTTTTACTGAATCTGTTGATAGGATCATGTGATTTTTTTTTTCCTTTAGCCTGTTAATGTGGTAGATTATGTTAATTGGTTTTGGAAGGTTGAACCAGCCTTACATACCTATGATAAATCCTACTTAGTTGTGACATATTATTCTTTCCATACATTGTGGGATTGGATTTGGAAATATTTTATTGAAGATTTTCACTTATATTTTCATGAGAGGTACTAGTTTTCTATTTTGTTTCTTATAATATTTGTCTGGTTTGGTATTAGGGTAATGTTGGCCTCATAGAATGAGTTAGGAAATGTTGCTTCATCTTGTGTCTTTTGAAAGAGAGGCCCCTCCCTTATTTAACAGCTTGAGTTACATTTTACATATAATAAAATGCATATATCTGAAATATATAATTTGCTAAGTTCTGACATATTTATTTAAAGTGGAAATATTTTTATTTTGTTTCATCTCAGAACTACAATATATAAGAATATTTATTTATTATTATTTTTTAAAAAGATTTTATTTATTCATGACAGACACAGAGAGAGAGAGGCAGAGGCACAGGCAGAGGGAGAAGCAGGCTCCATGCAGGGAGCCCAATGTGGGACTTGATCCCAGGACACCAGGATCATGTCCTGGGCCAAAGGCAGGTGCTAAGCTGCTAAGCCACCAGGGATCCCCTACATATAAGAGTATTTAGCTTGCTTGAGTATAAAATATTATATTTAAAAAACCCAAAATATTGTATGTCGAGATATAATAGTTTATCTCCTGTCTTTTATACCTTTGGCTTTTATTGGACAAATATGTTGTTTTTACAAACATGCATTAATGATACTGGACATGTCCTAGTGTATCACGAATTTGTAGCAGACCTTAAAGAGCCAAAAAGAATGTGTCTGATTTGGAAAAATAAATGTTTTCAAATACATCCCACTGACTGCTCATCCCTGGAACTTTATATACACATTGATAATTAGGAGAAAGTCCAATGTGTCAGAATTTCCATTTGTGAAAAAATAAAGCAACAACCACAAAACTTTGTTTCCATTGTGAGCTTTTTATTTTTGTACATTGTGTAATTTTTTGCGTTTTATTCTCGATAAGCTTATACTTTCTCTTTTGTTAAAATGACCTCCACTTCCATGAAAGTAAACAGTACCCAAAGAGCCAAAGCTGAAAAAATGTTTGTTTCTTGAAGAACCAGCTATTGGCCGGTATTGAAAGAAACCAAAAAAATTTCAAATATATGCATGTATCTGGCTAAAGGTGGGGAAAAAAATGCATGTTAATGTTTTGGGGTTAAAACAGTCTTTTAACAAATTTTGGTAATTTTTTTTAAGATTTATTTATTTTAGAGAGAGCGAGAGACCACATGAGTTGGGAGAGGGGGAGGAGAAGGAGAGGGAGAGCATTTCAGCAGACGCCCCACTGAACACAGAGCCCAACATTGGGCTCTATCTCACAACCCTGAAATGATGACCTGAGTCAAAACCAAGAATTGAACACTCAACCTGCTGAGCCAACCAGGTGTCCCAACAAATTTTGGTAATTTGACACTTCTCTCCCAGTAATAGGTAAAAGAATTCATGATTCTATAAAACCAGATTGATAAGTAGCAAAAAATGCTTAGTGGCTCTTCGGCAACTGACTTTCTTACTTAAGAGATAAGTAGGGTTTATTTTTATTTGTATTTTTTTATTTTTAAGATTTATTTATTAGCGAGAGAGAGCAAGAGGGAGGGAGGGGCAAAGGAAGAAAAAGAATCCTGAAGTAAAAAAAAAAAAAAAAGAATCCTGAAGTAGACTTCCCACTGAGTTTGGAGACAACACAGGGCTCAGTCCCAGGACCCTGAACTGAAATCTAGAGTCAGCGGCTCAACCTGCTGAGCTACCCAGGCACCCCTAGAGATGGGTAGTTTTTAATAAGTTTATTTATCTGACCATGTTCTGTAATAGCCATTTAACAGACTTATGTGTTACGAAATTTAAATAATTCGACAAATGATTCTTAGAAAAAAAGACTTCATGATGTGAGTGAATTACATTCTTAGCTAATGTTTTCTGGCATCTGTATATGATACTACAGTTTATGTGCTACAGTTTAGATTAAACAGCCCTTACTCTCAAGGGGAACAGAGAAAGTTACCCATTATTAAATGTCACCTTTCTTTTGAGCAAAACTTCAAATACATGTATGTTTGGGGTTCTGAGCTCAGTGACTCCATGAGGGGCAATTTGGTATAACACAGTAAATTGTAATTCCGTCACTTATGGGCCATCCACCACAATCTAGAAATTTCTTCTTCTATAGGTTAAATGTTAATCTTTAACAAAATTACATCTTTCTTAGCCATATTTTTCTCTGTTACCAAGTAATTTCTAGGTATTTAGTTTGATTTGGGGGAAGGACTATAATACTTTTTGATCACAGTGGGACAATTTTGTAGCTTATCCTAATGCCTTGGTAACTGACTGGCAGGATCTATATGTGAAATAACTCTCCATTCCATGCAGTTGTAGAATAGCTTCAAATGCATTATTTTTTTAATATGGCTTTAAAAATATCCCAGAGCCATTAAAACATTTTATTTATATTGCTTTGAGTTTTCAGATCCATGTAACAGGTGTGTTGAGTTTAACCATTTTAATCTTCATTCCAAAGATGAGGCTTATGTTCCACGAGTATAACTTCTTCGTCATTTCTTTAACCATTGACAAATGTGTATTTATTTGCACTTGTTTTTTTATTTTCCAAACCTGGTCCAATTATCCTAGTTAAAGTATGCTGATCAGTGAACAGGAAGCCAGTACAAGATGATGTATTTGTGAGAGTCTTTCGCTGGTCCCCTGGTGCTTCTACTGGACTTAAGTTTTTAGTATTTACGCCTTAATAACATTACTTGCCAGTACAGATTTTCAGTACTGGTAAAAAGATACCTGGTTACAGTGTTAGAAAACATTCTATGAAGTGATTATCATTTACTTCTTATCATGGAAAACTGGTGAGGCATACTGGTTTGTTATTCTTTAAGAAAATCAGTTCAGTCTGCAAACTCTGTGACTACCCACTATGACATATCACTATGCTACACAGAATATAAAGAGGCAAAGAAATAATGATAGACAGCTGCTATTATAGAAATAACGAGTTACCAGTGGTTTTACTTCAACAGGCCCCAAATCCGAAAAGGCGAAAGATACAGGCAAAGGCGCTTCGCTCACTAATACTGCAGATGTGTTGAAAAAAATCGAGGTAAGGTTTCCTTCTTGCTACACAAGCAAGCTGAAAAGTGTCGTGCCTCCTTTCCCCTTTTTCAGTCTTTCCACCTTCTCTCACTTTTTAATAATACGTGGATTTGGCAGAGCCAAGCCCTGCACACAGGGCAACTGAACAGATTTGAACATTCTTAGCTGGGAGATGAAGAAGCCTCATCCTATCCTTCTTTTTTATTATTTTTTTAAAGGTTTTATTTATTTATTCAGGAGAGAGAGAGAGAGAGAGGGAGAGACACTGGCAGAGAGAGAAGCAGGCTCCCTGCGGGGAGCCCGATGTGGGACTCGATCCTGGGTCTCCAGGATCACACCCTGAGCTGGAGGCAGATATTCAACTGCTGAGCCACTCAGGCGTCCCATGTATATGTACTTTTTTAAATGCTTTTTTTATCTGTCTCATGGTAAGTGTAGAACATTCTATTGAGGAAAAAAAGCACATCTTACTTTTTACTTTCATTGCTGTCCATATTTCAAAAATAGAAAGGTAAAAAATCCGAAAAGTTAGTAAACTGAAAATTTACTCTGTCTCTCATGAATAAGTAAATAAAATCTTTAAAAAAATAAAAGTAACCAGTACCCTATTGATGGGCATAATGTTCATTCTAGTGTTCTGCTATTATAAACAGTGCCATAGTGAAATCATATTAAGTATAACATTTTACATATGTAGATTTCTTGAAGTGGGTTTCTTGGGTCAGTTGTTATATGTATTGGATAATATGGATAAATATTGACAGATCACTCTCCATGGTGGTTAGGCCAATTTATTCCCACTCTCTATGCATATATTACCTTGCATTGATGGTGATGATGATGATAATGATAGCAACTAGTGCTTATTGAGAACTTATTATGTATCAGGCTCTTTGATGAAAGCTATTTCTATACATTATGTCCTGAGGATTCCATAACAACAAAGAGAGGTGTGTATTATTTTTCCTTACTTATAGATGAGGAGGTCAAGGCTTTAAAACTTTTACTTGCCTGGTCAAGTTGGCAGAGCTATATAGTAACAGAAACTCTTATTTTTGTGATTTTTTTGGCCAGAACTTGGAGGTACTGGAGGTAACATGTCTGAAAATAATACCAGGAGGGTATTGAAGGAATAGTGATAACGGTCAGGTGTAACTGTGGTGGAGTGATGATGCATGGGGTTGCAGAACTAGCCAACCTGTATTGATTGAACAGAGTCTTACTGTTCTTAAAGCTTCCCGGAAAGAAGTTGCTAAGATGACTTGTGCAATAAGGAAGATTGATCTGATGTGGTTTCTCATCAGAACAAATTGTGTTTCCCGATTTTCTACACTTGAAGACCTTTTTCATTTTGCACATTGTTAAAACTGGAGTTTTAAATCTGGAGATCTAAATGAGTTAGCTTTATTTTCTCTCAGTTAAAGAGCAAAATTAGCTTCTCGCTGACTTATTGTTCGTTTCTTCAGCAAAAGTAGTTGCAAGTTTTATTGTAATAAAACGTCTGTGGGTGGAGAGGAAGGAACAGTCAAATCTCATGATTAATGTGTGAATAATCAGACAGCAGTAAACTAATATTTGAGCTTTTTTCTGCTTGACTTAGAAGAAGCTCTCTCTACAGGGTGGCTGCTTATTATTTAAACTGGAAGAATTGTTCCCTCTCTATAAATTAACTGTTTGTAAAGTGTTTTCACTATGTGTTAATCACATTGTTCTGTAAGATAGTGCCAGTATATAGTTAAATCTGACAGAGGAGAAAATGGAGACTAATAAGTAGATAAGCCAAAACTAGTTGCTAAGTGCAAAAAGAAAAAAGTAATGAGACAATATGTGTGGCTCTGAGATCATTTTTTTTAATTGCATAAATCTGCTATGGTTAACTGATTTAAGTATTTTATGGGTTTGATTTGGGTCTTTGTGATACAAATAAAGTTGTTTATTTAAAAATATTTGAGGTGACAGTAATGGAAATAAAGACTTCCTAGTCCTACAGAGCAGTGAATGATTTTTATATTTTGAAAACATATTCCATAACTGGTTAAATAAGTTTATTGTTAATTATGAAATAATAGCTAATAGGATTTTTCAGATACAGTATATACCTTGCACAGTGCATTTAAAGTGTATTTAATAAATATAGCACTATGATTCTCTTTTAACTACACAAAATTTGTGGGTTGTAGGCCTCTTTACTGCAATTTGATTAAAAGAAAAAAGAAAAAAGTCCATATGTTAATATTGGTGTAGCATCATTCTGTGTGGGTATGTGTATGTATATATTTATAGACACTTTAGAAGATCTATAAACACTATTTTGTTTACTTGCAATTTCCCAAAGGGATTATCAGTTAGAAAAACTGCACACAGTATATTGTAGTAATAACTCATATAAGGCAGCATGGGTCAGTGTGAAGATAAATCATCTTATGTCTATATTACCTTGACTTTATTTGTTCTGCCTCAGTGGAGTGAAGTACGAAAGGTGAAACTTGAATTTTGGTTAGAAATTGAATCTATCTGATGTAGTTTTTTTGTTGCCTTTGATTTCCTTAAATTCAAACTTGAATGTAATTAAAGAGATTTTAAAAATAAATATTTAAGAGCCAATAAAGGAACCACAAAGTTGTAGTCACTCCAGATACAAAATATGTTTTCTCTCTATGTGTAATCTACAAAGCAAATATAATAGGATGGAGCATTTGCAGCTATATGAACTAACGTTCTGATTATTGTTTAAGAATAATCATATCTTAGCTAAAGTGATCCTGTGCTTTAATTATGAGTATTAATATATGAAATTATTGTTGTATCCACCTCCTGTAAAGCTTGTGGAATTCTCTCACTCGTGCAAATTAAACATAGATCAATTTAGTGAATGGATAGTGACAGTAATGAAAACAGACCCTTTTTTATCAAAGGGAAAGAAATGTTGGTAGTCATAGAAATTTAAAGATGTAACCGTAAAGTTAAATTTGTGTGTTACGAGAAAGTAGCAGGGATTTTAACAGTGAATAAGTGAAGCCATCAAGCAATCAAGGTTTCCTAACAACATCTCTCTTTTGCCTCCTGAGTTGCTAGGAAGTGCTAATGTTGACAGTGGTTTTATTTTATTTTTAAGATTTTATTTATTTTATTCGAGACAGAAAGAAAGAGAGTGAGCACACAGCTAGGGCTGGGAGCAGAGGGAGAGGAGAGGGAGAAGAGACTCCTGGCTGAGCAGGGAGCCTGATGTGGTGCTCTATCCCAGAACCCTGGGATCATGACCTGAGCCAAAGGTAGACGCTTAACCAACTGAGCCACTCAGGTGCCTGATAGTGGTTTTAATTGTTATTTGTTTGTTTTGTTTTTGGCAAGGATTGAAGTTTTAATCTCTTTCTCTTCAATCTGCCAGATATGTTAAGAAGTAAAAATTCCTGGAAATAAGAAGTAAATAATGAAGGAGAACAGAGAGAAAGAAAGACAGGGATAATCTGCAAACAGGATAATCCACACCAAATGATTATGTATTCATTGTTTTAAATGATCTCTCTTTGGGGCACCTGGGCGGCTCAGTGGTTGAGCGTCTGCCTTTGGCTCTCAGGTCGTGATCCCGGGGTCCAGGGATCAAGTCCCACATCGGGCCCCTTGTGGGGATCCTGCTTCTCCCTATACCTGTGTCTCTGCCTCTCTCTCTTTCTCTCTGTATATATCTCTCATGAATAAATAAATAAAATCTTTTTTAAAAAATTATCTCTCTTATAAACTAAAACATAGGAGCAGGAGCACCTGGCAGGCTCAGTTGGTAGAGCATGGGACTCTGGATATCAGGGTTGTGAGTTCAAGTCCCAGGATGGGCATAGAACTTACTAAATAAATAAATAAATAAATAAATAAATAAATAAATAAGTAAGTAAGTAAGTAAGTAAGTAAGTAAGTAAGTAAGTAAAATTTTAGAATGTAGATATTTTTGAAATGTTACCGTTATATTTTCTTTTCTCCTTTCATATTGAAAAGATAACAAAGTAGCATTCTGAAAGTTTCTCTCTATAAACTAAATCAACTCAACATTTTAGAAGAAGGTAGGATAGAAACCATAAAAATAAGTCATTATGCTTAGAGCCGATACCCAACAATACCTGAAACCTAATTATAAAGTAACAAAATCAATGAAAATACTAGTATAATGACAGGACAGAGAGTTCCTCCTTTCTTGAGTGAACTCACAGTTTCCTAGGTAGTGGTCTGGAGGATTAGAATAAGGCTATAGGTAACTGTTTTCTTGAGGCTAAGCAGGGAGGTCAAAGTGTAGTGGTTTCCATTTAAATTAATGAAGTTCATTTATACCAGGAATTGGAAAAGAGAGGTGATGGTGAAAAATCAGATGAGGAAAATGAAGAGAAAGAAGGAAGCAAAGAGAAAAGTAAAGAAGGTGATGAGGAGGAGGACGATGATGCTGCAGAACAAGAGGAATATGATGAAGAAGAGCAAGAAGAGGTAATGGTTTATTTGGGGTGGGTAACAAAGTTACAAAGTTTACGGATTATTTAATAAGGAATTGGATATATGCTATATAATTAAATTAACAAACCAAAACCAAGTCGATGGCAATGAAGGATATGTTATTATCCCTGGTATCAGTTCCTTAGTTCAAGAGAATTATTATAGCATTGAAATAATGATACCAAACTGAATATAGGAGGTGAGAATAAGTTGATAGGCAACCCTAAGTGGAAGTCCATAAGTGAAACAAATTGATAGATTAGTTTAAGATTTATCTACATAAAAATTTAAATCTGCCATTACTGTAATTAAGGACTTAGTCATTTAGGGTGTGAAGAGGAAATCCGTGGAATATCATCATGTTTCAAGCCCCAAAGTGCATAGGACCCTGCCAGAGAACAGTTATGATCTAACCTCAAGTATTTGACTGAGTTAGGACTTAGTAGTTTGGATTTGGGATTTCTAACTTCCAGAAACATGCATGGTGCATTTCAAAATAAGCTAGAGCAAATAAGGATATTTTTGAGCAGGGTAACTTTGTTGGCCACAGCATCTTTGGGACTTAGTAGATACCTCATGCAGTAACCCTAGTTTCTTTCTCCTTTCTTCTCCATGGCAGTGAACTTTGTCTTCACTCCATTTTAGCCTCTCACAGGACAATGAATCTTTACTTTACCTGAAACTGCTATAACTATGAAATCGTTATTATTCATTTACATTAAACTTGGTTTGTTTTAGAATTTTACATTGGTGTAAAGGGAGAGGTACAGATCCATTTTTATCTATTTCCAATGGCTAGCCAGCTGCTAACCTCATTTATTAAATAATTTGCTTTCTTCATTGATTTGAAATTCCCCTGTATCAACTATTAGATTTCCCACTTCTATTTAGATATATTTCTGGGACCTGATTTTTGAACTATCACTCTGCTATTCCAATTAACAGAAGCTTCTGATTATTTGTTAATGTTTCTAGGGAGAATTTTCCTGAGTATTCTTTATTCTTCCAGATAAGTTTTAAACATTTTAAAACTAAACATATCTTATTGTCTCCAACTTTCTTTCCGGATCATTCACTTTTTTATTCCTGCACTCTGATGTGATTGAGACTGCCAGACCTCTGATTCTCTATTTCCTCTTTACTAGTTCCCTGTCTTAATTTCCTTCCCTAAGGGGCCTAGACCCTTGCTCACCCTTAAGTGCTTCCTTGCCATTACTCTCATCCCTTGTCCTCTCAGCACATCCTTGAGAACAAGGTAACCTTTGATCAGTTCCACTGTCTCCCCTCCAAACCACCTATTGAACTTTTCTGAGGAGTCACAGAAACTGATGCCGCAAAAACAATACTCACTAGCCACTGTTGGCTGGCTCACATGCTGGTTTCTCTGTTTCTCTTATCAAGTCATTTGTCTACATCATTTTAGCTCATCCCTTTTCTTCGTAATCCCTCTCCTTGACTGCCTTTCTTAGTAGATAATACCCTCATACAGAAAATGAAGCCATATAGAAGAAACTCCCCTAATTTCATGTCATCTGCCTTCAAACTACATGTCTTTCTTCCTCCCCCTTCGTTTTCAGTGGAAGAAGTAGCCTTCATTTTATTTGGAGCTAATTGTCTGGCCTTTGGGGGATCTATAATCCTTATATCCCTTCCTTTTTTCATATTTTCAGGGTTTTTACCTACTACTTACTGCTTCCATTCATGCATTAAAATATGTTCATCTTTCATTATAAAGTATGTTGCCCACATTCTCTGTCCTGGTATCTCCTGGAAAGCCTCTTAGCTGGCTTCACTTGCTCACTCCTCCCTACCCTCCTCCATTTAGTTCTTTTTAATGTGATTTCCATGTACATGCCATTGAAATTATTGCCACCAAGTTCACCAATAGACAAATTTTAGTGCTTATTTCTTTTCTGCAACATTTAACACTGCTTACAACTTCATTATTAAAATATTATTTCCTTTATTTAAATTCAACAATTTAAGGCAATTATGGCATCAACTATATGCCAGGCACTGTGCTGCATGCCAAGACATAGGCAAACATTGTTCCTTTTCTTGCTTTTTGTGACACAACACTTCTTGTTTTTCTCCTATTTCTGGTACTTTTTCATGGTCTCTTTTGAGTTCTTCTCTTTCTAATCTTTAAATGTCAGTATTCTTCAGACTTCTTTGCTTGGATTTCCTTTTCTCTCTGCAATCTCCCTGACTGCATCCCTAGCCAAAATTTCAGTTGCCCTGTATATTCACCAATTAGTCCTCATTTTTCTTCATTCACTGTATAATAATTGTACACCAAGCATATGCTTGGAATTGTACTAGGCAAGGGGAATATCAGGATAGATACAGTTCTCTCATCAGGGATATGGGTGTAGTGAGGAGACATACCAGAAAGGAGACCCTTACAATACACTGAATAATGCTATAGTGTAATATAGTAGAGGATGCCATAGGGGTACATAAGAGGGGCACCAAGCTCCGTTTTAGTGATATCAAAAAGATATCTCACAGAAGACAGTCTGAAGACTTAATCAGATCAAGATGAGAAATGGATGGGAAGAGACTTGCAGATAGAGGAAAGAGCACGGAGAAGTTTTGCAGGTGATGAGAGTGTAGCCTAACAGTGTGGACCGGGTGAGTCAATGTGGCTGGACTAGAGAGTCCAAGTGGGAGTATGTGGAGATGTGAAGCGGAAGAGACAAATACAGGATCTTAAATACCAGACTGAGCAATAGGACTTTATCCTGCGGGCTATGAAGAGCCTTTGAAGGGTTTAAAGCAGTGGAGTGGTTTTATCAAATATTTGTGTATTAGAAACCTCGGTTGCTTGGATTGGAAGGAGTCATGGTTAAATCATGCTTGAAAGCTTGTTGCTATGAACCAGTGATTCTCAACCAAGGTATATTTGGTAATATCTGGAAACATTTTTGGTTGTCCCAACTGGTCTTAGGGGTTGTGGCATGCTATTGTCTTTGAGTAGGTAGTAGCCTGTTTTCTAGACAAGACTGGCTTTTGGAATGCTGTTTATAAAGTCTGCTTGAGGTAAGCTGTGTTGAAATTAAGATCTTCCCTAACAATAGCAAACCTCAGGATTCTAGTAATTTCAGAATTCCATGTTAGGCTTTAGCAGAGTACTAAGCACAGTTTATATACCTGTATTTCATTCAAAACAAACAAAACCTTTCCACTTTAATAAAGGATATAGGTTTTGGGTATGAGGCTGGGTGAGATATGGAGAGGGAAGCTCAGTTAAAGACTTTCTAGATTTAAAATCATCTTGGCCCTTTTTAGCAATTAATTAATGAAAAATTCATATTAACTAACTTACTGGACATATTGAGAATTTGATAAGCATTATTTTTGAAGAGTAAATGGAACAAATTATCTATGTAACACCTCTATGTAAAATGAGAGAAATGCAGACTTTTTCTTTCTTCAGTCTTTTGAATAATTAAAGAAAAAAGCAAGGGTTCAAATGAAAGCGAAGAACCATTTAAGCCATCAGTTTCAAGAAGTTCTCACTTTGTACCTGCATCAAGATTATTAACATCATGAAATTACCTAAGGTGAATGACTGAACATACTTGGAGGTGCTCACATCTGAAGCATAAGTTGTATATGCTTGATTTGGAATAGTGAGGTAACCTTCCAATCTCATTTACAAGATGATCTCATTTGAACTCTCAGCCATGCCACCCCTCCTCTGTACACTAGCTCCAGGCTACAGCCAGGCTTCTAGATGTTACTGGATTTCTCGGCACCAGAGAAACCACGCCATCTTCCTAGAGATGCTATGGAAACTTACTGGATACAGAAACTTACAGTGTTTAGGGAAGACAAAGTAATGAAATCTACATCTGAATAATATATCTTGCATTATTTATATAAATTTATATATTAAAAAATCCCACCATGCAGATACTAAAAAAGCTGATATCCAGATGACCTTTTCAGAATAGTCTCTATTTCTTACTCTATCATAATTCCTGCTATACAGAGCAGAGATGTAGAGATTAATTTTTTTATGGCAGATTTCAACGATGAATAAAAATCTAGTGATGAGTAAAATAAAAACCATAGACTTTATCACCCAGCTTTAACAATCATCAATTTATAGCCAGTCTTTCAAACACTCATTCATTCACCCAGTCCACTCTCACTTCCATTCCCCATCCACCTTGGATTATTATAAAAAGCAAATCCTAGACATTGTATCATTTCATCCATAAATATTTCAGTGTGTATTAAAAAATTAGCTCTCTTTAACATCACACCATCATTCTTACACCTAAGATAATGAATTTTTGTCTGAAAAAAGGTAATATTCATTCCAGTCAAAATCCAAATACAGCCCATACACTGCAGTTGGTTTTAAATTTCTAATCCGCATCCAAAATGGATTTTTGAATTTTTGATAGAAAGCACAGAAATATCAGGAAGGAATCATTTACATGGATGTCTTCCCCAATCTTAATAATTAAGTTGTTCCCAGGTGCTTAGTTCCTCTTAACCTCAAGGAAACTGTGGGGCCCTCGATGGAATATGGCATTTTATAGGGTTGATTTGGTGTCTGGAAGCCTGTTTTTTGATAGGAAGCAAAAATCCCTGTACTTGAGTTCAGTTACATGGCCTAATTGAAAACCTCCTTTCTGGTGTAGTTTAATGAACGTTAACATAAATTGGCTGTTTCTTGAGCGTCTGTACATTTGTTTGGAGTGTTTGGAGTTAGTGTTTAGCTAACTAAACCCCATGTGCCATCCTACTAAGGTGTAAGGAATTCCAGGTGTCTATTCTACTAAAGTGTATCGGAAATTCCTGCATTTTCTCTTAACTAGTTGGTGACTAAAAACATTAGGAGGTGATGGCCTTGTGGCAAGCAGCACAGGTGGATGGGAGTGAAAACTAATGTGTTTTTTTTTTAAGCACGAAATAGACTTTTTAAGGTCTGTTTTATTACCCAGACTTGATATTGATAAACTTAAAGGGACCGCCTACCTTATATTTTTTGATAATTATCTTACTACTCATTCATTTTAATGTTTACTGAGGAATAATATATCATTTCACTTAGGAAAATGACTACATTAATTCATACTTTGAAGATGGAGATGATTTTGGTGCAGACAGTGACGACAACATGGATGAAGCAACCTATTAAGCTATGAAACTTCTCCAAATATATCTTTCTGCTGATACCACTTCTGAACATTTGGACAGCCTTGTTTTCTATTTCTGATATTTTTGTTCTTGTTTTGTTGGACAAATATTTGCTGTCAAAATACTCAGAACCACTTAGAGTTTACATACTGGTTATCTTACCCATTAGTCTCTGATACTGTCCCATTTCTTTTCAACACCTCTGTCATCTTATGTATTCAGATGGATTTTTTTGGTATCATTTCGATTTCAATGTGCCTAGAGTTTTTGCATCTTTTAATCTGTGTATTCACATTTGGACAAATTATTCTTGTTGAACTCGATCTGTTGTAAAACTGTTACTAGTCATCATAGTGGATTTCTGTCTTCTGAAAGTTGACTTCATACCGCACAGAGAGCACTTTAAAAACAAAGAAACTTGAAGCTAATTTTCTTTTACTTTTGCATGGTACGTTCTGTGCTGCATTGAGACTACATAAACCTGAGCTCTTAACAATTGCACATTTTAAGAGAGTGGAAGTTTTGTGATTAAAAACAGACACACACAGGAAAATGCTGATCTGAATGGTATGGGTTTCCCAGCTCACATCTCAGCCCTTACAAAAACCTGGGGTGAATATTAACAAATACTTGAATTTGGAGCCAACTCAGTACCATATATTGATTAATCATCCCACTATAAGTTTGATATCTTTGAATAGTTGGGCTTATGAAAAATTAAGATATCTTATTTTGTATTTTACCAAAGTGTAGAGAAAGTGCTAGTCATATAAATCTCAGTGCAGAATGCACGTTTGAAATCTGTGAGGTGTAGTTGCTGTTATTAAATTTCACAGGACTCCTAGTTATCCAGCCGATTTATATAACAATGCAAAATGCAACTCAGGTCATTTTAAAATTAAGATTAATTTTTCTTGTTTCAATTATAAACTGGCTCCCTTGCCTTTTTATGTTTTGGCAGGGAAAATACCTAAGACCCCCAGCCTCCAAAGACACACAATTGCCAAAGATTTTCAGTGGAATTTGTATTATATATTTTTTAATGATTTATTAGTATTACTTTCCAAAAAGAATAAAGAAAATAATTTTTCCCCTTTAGGAAGATACTACCCATCACCCTCTAATCTTGAGAATCAAAGCCGTAGATTCTATTTCTACCTTTGCTATTAGACTCAACCTTGAAAATGAGCTTGGTTAAGTTTTCTGTGCCTTAGTTTCCCCACCTGTAAACTATTTCCTATAAAAATTGCTTACACACTAAACAAAATTTGCCATGTGTATTCATTGATACCTTAACAGAAATGATCACTTAATTTGGTTCTTGCCCTCTAAAAAAGATGTGGCCTTGTAAGTGACTGAAAACAAACTTCTGGAAAACTAACATGTTTTCCTCACAAAATATATTATAACCTGATTTTCCCATCTTATATTCTGGAGGGGAGGACTGAAGAAAATTTATATTGTCTTTGACCATTTTGTAACATGACTTTCTCAGGAAAAACATCACTTTCAATTTTAATACCTCCTCAGATAATTCAAGGTGGGTGTGAAGACCATTGTTAGTTCAGTGCTATATCAATCATATGTGCGTTACTTGTTGAAGTAAGCTTCTGGGGAATTTTAAATATTTTAAATGGAAAACATAAAAAGTCCATGTTAAAACAGCAATCTGCTGGACTTAAAATAGAAACTCAAATCAAGTTTCTAGTTGTGATGGGCAAATTACATCACTTAGGATTGTAAAGTAAGACATTGATGTTTTAGTCTCTTACCTCTTTAGTCTAATACCATTTAATTTATACAAACCTGATTTCAATGGCTCTGTTGACTTGCTTTAATATAAATCTGCAGATAACCCTGTGAATTGGTCAAATGCACTAAAGATCTAGGTATTTTTATTCCTAGCTCTCAATTTTGCCTCCAGTGTTAGTCCAGCAGATGGTAAGACAACCCATTTGGGCAAGGACTTGCTCCCAGGAGGCCCCAGCCCCATCTGCCTTAAGTGCAGGGTCTTCCCTCTTTGGAAGATCTTTTTTATAAGTTTAAAGTAGACTAAACGGTGAAGACAGGGAGTATTTAAAGGTTGCTTTACCAGTATGAATCTTGTCTTTCTGGCTTAGAATCTGAGAGACTGTGAAGTTAGTTATTCCACAAGAAGGTAAACTTTAATGCAGAGAGAGCCTCCTGTATATAAAAAAGTACTTGTTGGTGAAGTGTCTTTAAAATTGCTATATTAACAGGCAAAATTGTTTTGTTGCTTATTTTTCTGTTTACACATTAAATTCTTACAAAACAAAGTTGTGTCCTTTTGTTTTATACAAACATTATTTTGAACCTCCTTAAATATGCTTGAGAAAAGTAATTTTACCTAATATCTATTTATTGAGCAAGTATGACAGTTACCAAATATTCTTGAATAAACCACCCACAAAAGAAAACTCTAGGTGATTAAAGTTGTGTTTACAAATAAAGAGATTTGGCAGACAGTATAATATTAGTGTGATCATTAGTATCACAGACTTACAGTGGATACAAGAGAATGCAAAGAAATTTAGAGGATCTTGTTAACCTTTCCATTCCTACCACATTCAAATGTAGTGTCAATGGCTTTGCTTTAATATGCTTAAAGCCTCTGGAGTTAGTAAAAGCTTTTTATTAAAATAGAGGAGTTTAAATACAATTTTAAGGGGAAAAAGGATTACATCACAAATTCCTCCAATAAATAAAACTTCAAACAACTTTTTCAATTACTTTTGCTGCTGGTAATTTAAAAAAGTATCCTTGAAGTGGAAAGGTTGTTTCATGATAAAATTTACATACAGAGCATTTTGTTAAATGCCCGATTCACAACTTGCTAAGCAGCCATGAACCAAGCCTCATAAAGTCTTCCCTGATATCGAAGAACATCCAAAGAATATCAATCTGAAATCTGTCTTCATCTGTGTCCTATAAATAATCCAGTGGATTTCTGTATGACAAGGGGGAATTCTATTTACCTTATACAGTATCTCTACATAAAATAGTTTTTAGAGAAGAAAACATGTTTGCTTTTATTCAATTAAATTCACCAGCTTCCATTTTAGACTGAATAATAAAATAGAAACTTTATTACATTTGCATATCTTTTAAAATATGAAAAATAAGGGGCAGAAAGTTTTAAAAACCAGTTTTACAGATGTACATGCTAATAATGTTCTACAATTGCATTTTGCATTTGTATAAAATACATCATACAAAAGATTTATAGTATTTGCATACATAAAAAGAAATAAAGCATTCAGATATTTCTATTATCTAACAGTGCAATATGCACATACTTGGAAGAAAAATACTGATTTCCTGAGCAACGTTGTTGTAATTCAAAATAAGAATGATACTCATCATAATGCACCATTTAAATACAGATTTCTAAAACCTCCACATTTACCCTGTAATGCTTTGACTGGATCCTGGCTTCATGATATTTCTGAAACACCCTTCATATTCCCATATAGATAATTTTAGAAACAGATACCTTAAAAAGAACTAATTACTAAGTAGTGGTTCATTTAAAGAATTCTTGCTGAACAAGTGAGTACAGAAAAAGAAAAGCTTTAAAAAACAAAGTCCTTTGGAAAAGTTCATTTAATATCTTCTTTCTAATTCTAATACGGCCAGCAGACTGTGTAATCTTTTAATCTGTCTTTTCAAAAGACAAATCCCATACTTTTCTAGGAGTAGGATGGCAAAAACTTTAAACAGCATTCAACAGTTCAAAACAATCTTAACCATTTATACCCAGGTTTAAGAGAAATAATAATCTGTCTTAAAAATAGATTTTTCTTCATTTACAACTCCAATTTTTTAAGCAAACCAAACAGAACGGTTTGTTAGGATATATATAACATACATACCTTCTAATGTAAAGTGTCCAAGTAAATTCAAATAAGGGTTTCAACACAATTAAAACCCACAATATCAAATAATAACTTATTAAGTTTTACCAAGTAATCTGTATTTGCTATAAATTTTGATGTATATGAGTCGTTTTTAAAAGCTAAAATTATTCTAGAACTATTAAATGCTTAGGAAATTTTTTAAATGACCCTTAAAGATTAAAATCTAAAATTCTATATATATGACATATATAGAATTATAAAGAATTCAAAGATATAGAGAAGGGAAACCGCCTGATTGTGTCATAAGGATATGTTAAATTTCCTTCAAGGAACAGGACACTGCAAGACAGAAATGGTTTTAAATCAAGTACACAGTACACTTCACCACTTTAAGTCACTTACTTTGGAAATCAGACCTATCACAATTTCAAAGTAGCACTAGCAAAAAGGAATTACTGACTCTGGGTTTTCATCAATTTGATGTAAACAAAGTTCTAAATTCTATCCTAAAATAATCCATTTCTCTTCCCTAAAACTTGATTTTTCGGCAAGTGTAATAAATACAATGTAAACTGACCAAGTTAACACTGAGCATAGATTAGAAAGATCATACATTTTTTTCAAGATACCAAGGCACATTAAAATAATTTTTAAAATTCCAAATTAAAAGAGTTACTCAAAAAATGATTTTGCTACAACTTCTATATTAACATTTTTCATTAATTGTCTAAGGTCCTCTAATACATGCAAGGGCTTTAATGCTTGACTTCTTTGTCCTGTCTTTTTATGATACTTTCCTCCTGAAAGTACATTAAAACCTCATTTTACCATACTTATTCACTCCTCCCCCTTTTTAAAAATCAATATTGGAGTTGCAAATATAAAATGACTGGTCAAAACCTGAAACATTAAAAATTAGGAAATAATGCCCACAAAATGAGGTGGTATTATATAACTTAAGATACATACTTTATTATACACAAAACAGACAATTCAGACTCCACCAAATCTTTCTTCTAATGAATCATTTTGGTTAACATTTTTAAAACACATACTTTATAAAACTAAATGATGGAAATCAGTAAGCAAATGATGCTTAGTTAGCCAAACTATGTCTGATCCCCAGCAAATCTTAAGAAGTAGCACTATCAAGCCCTTTCAATTGATCCACACACCTCTGGCCTCTGTTCCCCAAATTGATGCTACAGTTCAGAGGGGAAAAAAAGGTCTAGGTTGAACATTGTCTCTGAAAACCAGGTTAACGGATCAAGAAATAATTTGTTACTGTTAATGCAAAAGGGCTCTTTCACCTTTGCTTTTGCTTATTAATCATTTTCTGCAACAGACCTGAGGCAGACCATGAAAATCTGTTTTAATAAACCTATACTGTTGTGCTTGATAGTGAAGGTGGAGACGAACTTACACAGCATATGTTATGAATCCTGTTGGACCATCTGAAATAATACTTAATTTTAATTCTAAAAATTGTATTAGCTTACGTAAAGCAATTATCATAAGGCATTAAATGTAATTAAGGCATGTTACTGCATGTAACACAGCAACAACTTATCACAGTATGTAAGGATTTATTTCCTAAATAATGCTAATTCGTATAACACTTTTCATTAAAGAATTACAAAAGTGCTTTCAAATAACAGAGGCAAATATAATCACTTAAAAAACAGAAGCAGAGGCAGTGAGCTTTAAGAGACAAAGAATACTTTTAGGTCTTGACCCAATCCAGTGTTCTAGTGACCAAACGGCAACTTAACTAGAATACATATTTTGGGGACTTAAGCCAAAAAATAATTCCTTGGAAAATAAAACTTAAACATAACCAACCTTGAGTAAGAAAAATGATGCATTTTCCAAGTTAAGAACTTCCTAGACCCATATTTAAATTCATTTCTGCTTTAAGCATTGATACAACAGATACATGGATTCACAACTCTCAATATCAACAACTAGCAACTGTAAGAATTTTATACTCAATTTGTAAATGGCTCCCCCAAAAGGGCGAAAAACAAAAGCATCTTCAATCTCCCTAACTTCTGCCCTTAAAGTGGTTATTGATAACGGATTCACCACACTCCAGATACACATGATCATTAACAATGTTATTATTATGAGCTAACTGCTATGTCTTGTGTTGAGCAGCAGGTGATTGAGAATCCTGACTATATAGTTTATGATCATGTTGGCCAAAGGGTATTCCTTTAGTTGGACCAATTCCATTTTCCATTTCTCTTTGTTGTGATGGAGGTGTCACTCCTGAATGCAAATGTGAAGAATCCATTGTTGAATGGTGACTAACATCCACTTTAGCTAAAATTTCATAATACAGTAAATAAAATACTGGCGTTATTATACCTACTATCAACATTATCACTACAGCTGTCCACCACCCTATTCCCCAGTCCGCTCCATAATAAGGATCCTTACGTTGAATGTTTTTGTTATCAGGTTCAAAACGTATCTGTTGTGCTGTTAAAGCAGATACCACCTCATTAAGATTCTCTTTTTTGGTGTCTGTACATTTTACTATTTGTTCTATGTCTCGGTCTACTTCTTTTAAAAAGTTATCAGCTGACTCACTGGAAGAAAGAGAATCATTAGGTGGCAAAATTTCCTGTTGTTCTGGAACATACTGAACAGATGAAGGACGTGAAGCCTGTCTTCCTTTTGGAGGATAAAGTGTTTCAGTCAATGAACTAAATTTTTTAACTGGAATTTTGATAGACCTAAGGGCAAAAAAGTCTTGATCGCTGATGAGATTGTTAACCCTCTTGATATCTGCTACCTGTTAAAAAAAAAAAAAAAAAGCAACATTCAACTGAACTCTCCATCAAAATAGAGGTAGCAATAGTCATTTATCTTAGTTACTTTGGAAGGGGAAAAAAAGTGGAGCTTAATTAGTAGTAGTATTATCACACCCAGAGAGATTTTGTAGATAACAGTTCTACACCACTTTTGATCTACTACTCTTAGGAAATCACTACTTACTTTTTACTATCACCCATGTATTATTAGCACTAATGGTAGGTATTTAAGTAGGTTGTGGGATCATTTGATATTTCTCTTTGTATATCATGCACAAATATCACACTTTCTATTGTTTTTAAACCATCTAGGAAGGAAGGATTACAAATATGTTCTTTCTTCCAGTCTGACAAAAGTGTAGGCAAATGTCAACTTACCCTAAAACTACTGTATTTTATCAAAACTAAGATGCCATCAACTCTAAGATGTGCCATTATTTTACATATTGCTTAGGGGGGAAAAAACCAAAACACCAAATAATGAGGATGCCACCATTCCAATTTCAAGGATGTTAAAATGTTTGAAAAAACATGCACCTTAGGAATGATACTAAAATTTATCTCCCTCACTTGTGTTGATAACATTTCCCCTAACTTCTCAGTGTTCATGCATTATTCAATTACACCCAAGATCAGGCATTTTTTTCTAAGCTTTTTCTATATATTATATAATCTTCAACCTGTCTGTATATCCTATCCACCAGCCACTGTCAAGAGGGAGATTGTGGGAGTGCTCCTCAATTAACAATTATAATGGTAGGCTCTCCCACCATCTTTAAAGTGATTAGTCCCATTCATGATTTCCATCAATGGCTTAACCTAAGCCCTGATTATTTATCACCTGACTGATGTCAGAAAGGCAAAGTGAGTGAGTCTAGGATAAAACTTCTGGCTTGGTCAACTCAATGGATGATGCCATTTACTGAAATATGGAACACTCTGGAGGGAGAAAAGAAAATAAACGCAGACTTCATATATGCTGACTTTGAGGTGATTGAAATATCCAAGTGGAAGCTATCCAACAGTTACCGGATGTTTGAAATTTACAAGAATGATCTCAGGTAGAAATATAGATTTATGGATTGCCAGCAAAAATAGTAATTGAAACCACAAAAGTAGACAAGTTCACCAAAGAAGACTGGGAGAAAAAGGTGACATATAAAACATCTCTGAGAAATGTCAACATTTGAGGGATATACTGAATAAGAGAATTCATACCAGAGATTAAGAAAGAGTGGCCAAGGGGCGCCTGGCTGGTTTAGCAGGAGAGCATGTGACTCCTGATCTCAGGAGTTCGAGCCCCAAGCTGGATGTGGAGATTACTTTAAAATAAAATTAAAAAGAAAAAAAGAGTGGCCAAGAAACCAATATGACAGTGGTTAGAAGTATGGACTCTCTGGGTTTGAAGGATGGCTCTGACAACTTTCTAGCTATATGATCTGGGGCAAGTTGTTTAACCTCTCTGCAATTCAATTTCCACGTATGTAAAATGACAGTAATAACACCATCTACCAGATAGGGTTTTGCAAAGATTAATAAATTAAAATGTATGAACATTTAGAATAGTGATATATAGTGTGCTGTAATAACTCTAACATTTAGTATATATATTTAATATATTAAGTATAATTAAATATTACTAGCAGGAAAATAAAAAAGATGCAAAATCAAGGAGGCTGAAGAGGGCTTTTAGGAGGGAATGAATGGTGAACTATCAACTGCAGATTCCTGATCACAAAGTCCACTGAAGAATGAGAGCGTTCCCGGTTTTTTTTTTTTTTTTAAGATTATTTATTTATTCCCGAGAGTCGGAGACATAGACAAAGGGAGAAGCAGGCTCCCCGAAAGGAGCCGGATGTGGGACTCTAACCCAGGACCCTGGGACCACACTCTGAGCAGAAGGCAGCCGCTCAACCACAGAACCACCCAGGCATCCTGAAGAATGAGAGTTCCTGTTGGAAAAATCAATTCCCTGGAAGTGTACGTGTGGAAGGAGGATGGAGGGAGGATTCAGAGTAACTATATGAGACAATAAGGAAAAAGGATGCTTTCAAATTTACAACCTCAAGACTTTTTTTCTTAGAGAAAATAAAGATTCATTTGATAAACCCCAAAGTCTGACCCCATTCTCTTTAAATGTTCATTTGTTTGATATTGTCTATTCTATTAACTGCTTCATATTGTTTCTAAACCAGGCTTCTAACTTTTAGTAGTCTACCTAGGTTCTCACTCTGAAGATCCCTGTTATTTTCTTTTATACGGACTTCCTTGTTGCATTTAGGATTCCAACCTTGAACTTTGTCCTCTTGTCACTGTTTTATGACATATGTTTATGACATATATGGCACTATGTTTAGTAACTTCTAATACTGAGTACTTATAAGAGGAATACAGCTCTAAGTACTCTGAAGTGAAAAATCCTGGAGTGCCTGGGTGGCTCAGTAGGTTGCAAGCGTCTGCCTTCAGCTCGCATCATAAACCCAGGAACCTGAGATCAAGCCTTGCATCAGGCTCCCTGCCCAGTGGGAAGCCTGCTTCTCTGTCTCCCAGCTGCTCCCCTTGCTTGTGCTCACGTGCTGTCAAATAAACAAAATCTTTAAAAAATAAATAAAGTGAGAAATCTTTTTGTAAGGTTCACCATTTTTGCTGGTTGAGCTCCTGGCAAAAGGGAGCACTGTTGAACTCCCTGTTATGTCAATTTTCCCTACTGTGGATAATGCCTTCTTTTCTCTAATGGTAAACTAACTGCCCTTTCATCATTCTTCATTTTAAACAAGGAACCAGCTAAAACATCTTGGGAATACCCCCAAATGATGTTCTGTAAACTTCTCTATACTTACTGCACATATTTTAGTCTAAGCCCTGATCAATCTTCACTTGAATCATTCCACTAACTGCCTCATTGGGTCCCCTCCAACTTGCCAGCAGGCTTACCTACCATTTTGCAGCACTCTTTAAAACCTTGTAATGGTGTTCTTAAATACACAGATCAAATTTTTCCTCAGGTAACACAAAGTGCTTCTTTCCATCAGTCTATGCCACTCATTTCTGGAAAAATGAGTGGAAATCTATTAAATTTCCTCTGTTGTTCTTATTTTCTCCTATACCTTTCTCTTTATATACTCATACAGTTATATACTTTTTCTTGTTCACCTCATTTGAAATATGACCTATTTTTAATCATTGAGATGGCATTTCAAACTTGTATTCTTCTAAGATAATTTATCAGGTTCATTAAAGGAAAACCTATGTCTTTCTCTAATAAAGCTATTGGACCACACTCTTCTCTTGGACCTCCACCTTGATAATTTTAGCCTTATCCCTAATTTTAAATCTTGATTACTTTCTATCAACTTTCTAAAACATTTTCTATAACTTACTTACTTTCTAAAGCACATTCTGTAACTTCTCTACAAACATGTATCACATGGTTATTTATGCTAAAAAATGAAATCAGATATACTAAGACCTCATAATAAATAGTGTTGCTATATGTGAACAAGTTGCAACACCCCCAATCTAGCTCTTATTACCTCATCAAGAAATGCATTCCAATAAAATATTTTATTAAATTTTTAAATAAATATATATCTGTTTTGAATAGCTGAATTGCAATAATTACTCTATTCAGAGAAAAATAATACACAAAACTTCATGGCCAGAGGAAATTTTTAAAAATTCAATTTAAATTTACATATATTTGTATAAATAAATTTATAAATATATGTTTCTATTGCAGAGAACTATGACAGATAACCAATAAAAGGCTTTCAAGTACAAAAATATAATACATCATGAAAGACTGTGGGGAGAGGATAAAAATACTAATCAAGGTGAAAAAGCAATGATAAAAATTTCATGCTATTAAAAAAGTGCATATAGGGTGCCTGGGTGGCTCAGTGGGTTGAGCATCTGACTCTTGGTTTTGGCTCAGGTCAGGATCTCATGAGTCATGAGGTTGACCCCTTGTCTGGTTTCCCACTGGGCAGGGAGTCTGTTGGAAGGTTCTCTCTCTCCTACTCCTGCCCCTCCCCCCACTCATGTACTCTAAAATAAATTCTTTCTTTAAAAGTACATTTAAAGAGTTTTCTAACGGTCATATTTTTAAATATCAATATTGACAACATTCTGGAAATTATATCCTTTAAATCATTAAAAAGTATTTAAGCTTCCTTTAAAATGTGTAAGGTGATACACAGTATGTACATTTCAAAATTCTGCTGGAAATATGAGAAAAGAATGTTTGAAAAAATATTCTAACAATTTCCATATAAATGTGTTCACGTGAAAAGATTTCATGCTAAGGATGAAAGATGGACATAATGACATATATAAAATGGGTTTAAAGAGTTTAATGTTATTGAAATAAAAATATACCTTTCCTTCTATCAATTCTACTTTTGGGAATCTATTCCACAAAAATAAAGGTACCACCCTTTAAAGACAGAGCTGTGATGATATTCACCACACTATTCAAAACATGGGAGAAAATCCCAACTATGTTATAGAACAGCTTCATGATTATGATACGTTCATACCATGCAATGTTATATAGCTACATAAAACATAAGTTAGATTTGTAAGACAATGAAGGGATGTCCATGATATACTAAGAAATGAAAAAGGCAACTTGAAGAGTAATAGACATAAAAATAAACCAATTTTTAAAAACAAAATCACCAATGCCCCAAGTGGTTTAAATATATGTAAATATTTATACTTACGTACGTATTTTAATTTCATAAAGCACAAAAAAAAGGAATGAAATACCTTTTATTTGTACATATTTTACTTTTATATAGCACAAAAAAGGTATGAAAAGAAACACACCAAAGTGTATCATTTCAGGAAGCTGAGGAAGAGAAAAACTTTTCCTTATATATTTCTATATTCTCTTAGAACTTGAGTAAGGAGGAGAGATAGCACAATTAGGTGTTTTTCAATACTGAAAACAGAATCAAGAATTTAATTACAGTAATCACTTAAAAATGTAAAAAGTAACATCTACCAACATAATACAGATTTCTATGGGGAAAAACAAGATAAAAGAGCACAAAACTTATTTGTTTGTGCTAATGAAATTATTTTATATCCAAAATCAAAGTAAGACTTACCGTACAACAGTACTGAAGGGCTATTGCATTTAAAGTATCTCCTTCCTGTATATCTTTTGTTAATACTATAATGTCATCAAGTCTATCTCTTGATGTACTTCTTCGGATTTTCTCTTTTCCTCTGGATCGAAGCTCATATACTTCAGCATCCTCCTCCAACACATCACTGTCTGTACAATTTCCAAATGCATGTACTTGACCACTTGAATGAACTCCTGGAAGAGGAAAACTACGGTTCTGATGTCTCCCTGCCATGTCAAAATCTGAGGAGGAAAGAAGGCAGAAAAAACTTTAGAATGTGCCTCATCCATTTAACTGAGTTACAAGAATCTTATATTCAGGACCCCTTTTTTTAAAAAAAGAATGATTTTAGTTATTTAAAAATTTAGGTTGAAGTTTTACAGATGTTAAACTGCAATTAACATCTGACAGCAGAGACAATGGGACAGGAAGAAGAGGTAATTCATTCTTACAGACTATTGCAAAACATGGGGGTGATAAACATTTTCACAAAAGTAAATTGCTATTTTTTTAAGGTTAAAAAGCTAAGCTCCTTTATTCTGAGTATGAATAAAATTAAGGAAATATTTTTGTATTATTAAAAACCTGTGATCATGGGGATCCCCTGGGTGGCACAGCGGTTTGGTGCCTGCCTTTGGCCCAGGGCCCGATCCTGGAGACCCGGGATCGAATCCTACATCAGGCTCCTGGTGCATGGAGCCTGCTTCTCCCTCTGCCTGTGTCTCTGCCTCTCTCTCTGTGTGTGACTATCATAAATAAATAAAAATTTAAAAAAATTAAAAAAAAAAAACCTGTGATCACATACTACAATTTATAGTTCTGATGGACTCAGAATGTTTTATATGTACAAACACAACACTTTAATGAACCCGAATATCCTGGCTTGTTCTGCATTTTAAGTGCTTGTGGGATTGAAATATCTTTTTTACTACCTCCCTACCTCCCTGCATCACACTGACTTCAGTATTTTTTTTTATTTCAGTATTCATAATTAGTACAGTATGTGCCTTCATATAGGTCATAATTTTGCCCTCAACCAAGGATTCTTATTCCTTGGAAGCTTTTCACCAAACTCTATCAAAGTCCTTGTCCAACTCAATTTATGGTCCATAAAGACTGAACAAATTTTATGTCACTACATCCATTTCTACTTCAGAAAAGACATTCTAAGACTAAGCACTGACTTAAGGGAAAAGCATACATCAATGAATACTTTTTGCTTACTGGCACAGGCACTCTCCACTCCCCTTCATCAAGCTGAAGTGGTTCTCATTAAAAACAAATGTAACAAAAACATATAGAAACTAATTCCACATTCCCAGTGCTAGCTTCATATTAATTGTTCACATAAGAAAGGACCTAGATTACTTTCAGTTATTGTTTTGAAAGATGGAAAGAAGTAGACAAGTAGTGAAAGGCATTTTGGACATAAAATACTTATGACTTCATACTGTGACTTAGACTGAAGAGAGGTAAGACGTTAAGGATCATGCCAAGATTTCTGATTTGCATCACTGAGTAAATGGTGATGCCATTCTCTAAAATACCGTACACTGGAAGAAAAGCTGGGGGGGGGGGGGTTTGAACAATAAATCATAAATTCCTCTAATACAGCCCCAAAGAATACCAAATAGCCAAGTGGGCTATAGAGTCAAATTCAGAAAGGGTTAGAAATAGAATTTCCTGGCTCATGTGCATAGGTAGAAACTGAAGCTGTATGGGTATAGATGAGATTACCTAAATAAAGTATAGAATAAGAAGGGGGGAAGACAGCCTTGAAGAGTTGCTACATTTGGTATGTGAGGGAAGGAAAATCAGCCTGCAAAGAAGATAGAACAGGCTATTCAGAAGAGGAAGAAAGCATCAAAACAATGTGTCATGGAAGGCAAGCCCAAAGGGTGTCTTAAAGGACTTTGTTCAGTTGAAAATACTACAGACAAATACCAAGTGAAAAAGAAAACAAACACCCTTCAAAAGTCTGAATTTGTAATATGGATGACAACAGATTACATTCTGTACATAGGCACATACATAAATAATTAACGAACTATTTAATTCATTGAATTCATTGATTGTTGAATCCAACCCCTGAAAACCAGTATCTAATCCTGCTCTACAGCAACACTGGATTGCTTTTAAAACCCACAGATTTCTATAAGGGTAACACAGACAACTAATAACTAATTATTAAGTAGCCTATTTCACCCATCCGCACCCCCTCGGGTGCTCTTATACCGTGAACTGGGGTTCCTAAATTCACAGCCACCAAACTAAAGAAAGCTACCAACACTGTACATCTCTAAAGCAGTTTTTAAGTCCTGATCACACCTATTCCTTCATGGAATTCTAAGTGACAACAAGTCTAACAAGTTTAAAGACTAAACTTGTTATAAACTTGTTATACCATAATTCATAATGCTTTATTTTTAATTTTCAAGAAGCTGAAAAAGTATCTCCCCTTCACCTAAAATGGGTAATAGTTTTATTTCCACTTATTTAACCAGGTCTTTTCTATCTTGTGTTTTTAGTGTCGGAAATGTCTGTGAATCCTGTGCATTCGTAGGCAAAACTTTACAGTCATGTACATTTTTCTGGGGGAAAAGGGGGTTAATATTTGTTTTCCTGTTCTCAGAGGAGGGGTTTTATGATTTTAAAAACTTAAGAGCCATCTAATACACAGCAATTTGCACGTGGTTATACTGACACACGTAGGCTGCCCTTTTAGACTTTGTCTCCCTAATTATTCGTTCTTAGAATACCAAACTGGCTTGGAGTGGCTGAAATCCACTGAGCAATGCCCAAAAGCCATTTTACACATTTGTATCAAACTTTCTCCGTGGTGCACCGCTACATAATACTTAAAAGGCTAGCACTTCATCTCATTATCTCTTCACGCTCCTGTGTAATCAAATGCAAGCAGCGGAGCCCCAGAAACTGGGTACCTTTCTCTGAATAACCAAAAACTGGCTGCGCCTCCGAGCGAAGCGGAAAAGCTAGATTCCGGCGCAAGCAGGTAATTACCTACCCCAACCACACACAGGTTACAAAGGGTACAGTACTCAAGTCATCGGGCTCGATTTTCTTCAACCTGTCTTTAATTCTTAGAGGTGGGAAAAAATGCACGAACTCTCTCTTCTGAAAACTGGGGGGGGGGGGTAACCAACCCTGCATGCTGCCTAGATTTCCAAGCAGTCGCGAAAACTTACGCAATGGATACGTTGCTAAATAAAGCATTCATCAGCTCGCTAGGAACTGAGAGTGGCTTCCCACACACCTTCGTTATCTGCAGCGGCTGCTGCCGGGTGTTTCGCTTCGGTTTCCCTTAAGCAGAGAGCAATAAAGGGGCCGCAGGGCGCGAGCAGCCCCGCACCGCGACACCATCACAGGGGCTGCATCCGCCTGGGCCAATCCAGTTTTTAGAGACTTCACTTCCCGCCCCCCACCCCCGTCCTCCTCCATTGCACGCACCTAGGGGCCTTATTTCTCTGTCTACTCCTTGAGATGACCTCAGATTTTCATGTCACGCCGTGAATTCAGCACCAACAACAAGTTGTGTGGGGAAAAGAAAGCGCTTAGGTTCCAAACGCGGCGACCCGGGAATCCGGCAGGTGGGAGGAGTCCTTCCTCCGGGCCTCAGTTTCCCCGAGAGTGTGACGAGGGGCTTCGGTGCGGCCGGGCCGCGAAGGTCGCCCCCCGCCCCGGGAGCGGAGCCCCGTGCGGCCGCCGCGGCTACACCTGCTGCCGCAGGCTCCGCGCCATCTCCCGCGAGAGCGCAGCGGGGGCCGGACCCCCCCGCCCCCCCCACCCCGCGACCTCTCGCCGCCATCTTTACCTGCTCCGTTAGCAGCGGGGACGCACCAGGGAGCCAGCTGCCAGGTCCGCCGCCGCGGCTCCAGACCCGGGCAGACTCATGACCGAGCCTCCGCCCGGGGCCGTCCCGCGTCGCCGGCCACCACCGCCGCCAACGTCTCCGCCTTCCGGGCCGTGCGCCGCCGCCACGTCCGCAAACCTGCCGTGCGTCATCGCGTCAAGTGGGCGGAGGTGGGAAGCGGTGGAGGAGGAGGGCGGAGGTGGGGAGGGGCGGGGAAGGAGGCAGAGGGAGGGGACGCGCGGCGAGGACCGGAGCCGGCGGGAGCTCCCCCAGCCTCGGGCTGCGCCGGGCGCGCAGGCGCAGGGAGGCCGGCGGGGGCCCGACTTCCGGCCCCGCCCGCGTCTCCTCCCCGGTGCCCCGCCCCTTCCGCCCCCGGGAGCGGCGCGGCGGGCGGAGCCGGAGGGCTCCCCGGAGACCCCGGGGCGCGCGGGCTGCGCCTTTGTCCCTCGCCCGACTGACTGTCTAGAAAATACGCGGCCGCGGGGGGCCGGGAGGAGGGAGGTTCTTAAGGGCTTGACGGCGTCGTTGTACATCTCTTCCTGCTCTGCATCTGGAGGCTTCTGTAGAGTGGAGGACTGAGCCGCGCAGCTCGGTGTTGACATCCATGTTTTGGCAAATTGCGCCGTGCTGCTTCTTCCTGTGGAAGCTTCTCGGTGTGCGGACGAGGCCACATACTGGAGAGCAGTCTGGCTGGCGGGGTAGGGTGGCTGCAGTCTTTGCGTTCGTAGGTGAGGAAAGTGAGCCCCCTAGAGTCCGGCCCCGGGAGAGCTGGGCCCTCAGGCTGGCTCTTCCCCACCGACGCGACGCTTTTCTGCAGGCTGTTAGCTCACTTGGTTTTGAAAATTAACTGAAAGTCGCAAGTCTGTGAAACCAGTCTGTTAAATCGCAAAACTCACGACTTCGTACGTTGGTTTTCTCAAATTTACTAAAGGAGTACGATCATCGGTTTGAACCTACGTAAGTGACGTAAGGCGTTTTAGTGACGTGCGCAGCGTTTCCCGATGTTGACGTCACAGACTTTGCAGACTTGGGTGACTGGCATCTTACGAGGATGTACAGGTTAGGCCCAAACAGCTGCAGGTGCAGGGTGCAGAGCACTTGCTTTCAGAACGTCTGGGTTATTTATGCATCACGAATATTTATGCATTATGAAGCTCTGTTTTAAATTACTTTCAAAGAGTTGTTTTTGTTTGCTGGGAAAATGCCTTCCGCAAAGTTTAGGAATTCTGCACTGCAGTGTTTTTCTTTTATTTACGGAGATAGGCACTGGGGTCCACAATGCTACAAAAAGAACTGCAGGAGAAGGCTTTTTTTTTTTTTTTAAGTTTGTTGGAGCTGTTCTGTGTGCTGTTGCCCTTGTGACACCCGTCTGTAACCATTTATCACGGAGACGTTTTCTCATCAGTAGACAAAAGATATATTCCCTACTTGACATGTAAGGCTTCAGCTGCTCAGCCTTCATGAATGTTAATGTGAATACAACCTTCTTTCTGCATGTACGTTACTTTTCTTATTTTAATGTCAATAGGCAGTGGAATCCATGTGAGAGCCTGAGTGATACAATTTCAAGCATTTCGACAGCACTGCTACCTGTTTCCTTTCTATAAATATATATTTTTCTAATATCTGCATGTTCTTGAGTTGTTATTTATGTTTAACCAAAGGTGCGGTTATTGAACTTTTTATAAAAAGATAGTAATAGAACTATATTTTATTATTAAAATATACAAAGGAGTCAGTTAGCCATGAATTTTGGCCAAGTTCCAAAAAGCTGGCTGGTAGGAACAAGTACTTTGTCTTTGAGAAAAAGGATGTCCCCAGAGCTCAGCTAAGCCAAAAGGGTTTTCAGGTTTTTTCTGAGATCACATCTGACACGGTTTTCATTAAAAGGCCGTACATGAAAGAATATGTAGTTCCTAAGAACGTGTGTTTCTGTTACTAACTTTAAGGTTTTGTGATTTGCTCCAGAATAAAAACAGTATTGCAATGAGGGTATAAATTGATGCAACTGGCTAGGAGTGTTACTTGGCAATATCTATCAAATTAAAAATGTAATTGACTAAACTATTAAATGGTTAAGTAATCACCTTGGATTCACTTCGAGATTACATACGTATAAAATTTAATAGATATGTCCAGGAATGAAAGCATTCCTACAGTAATACCCCCAAAACCTGAAAATATTCTAAATGGTCATCGATAGCGGACTGGATACTTCTTGTACATTTAAATGATGTAATGCTATGCTTTTAATGTTTAACGTCAAAAGAATGAAGTTAATCTGTACTTTCTGATTTATTTATTCATTTACCTAACAAATTTTTGTTTGTTGAGAAGTGTATGCAAACCCTGTATTCAAAGCAATGGGGACATGGTGCTTAAAAAGACAGTTTCCTTGCTCATAGAGCTTCCATGACTAGGCACATGGAAAAATCTCCCAAGTGTATTTTAAAGAGAAAAAGTAAGTTACATACATATAAGAGGTATGGTGTTGAGGATGCCTGGGTGGCTCAGTGGTTTGGCACCTGTCTTTCAGCCCAGGGTGTGATCCTGGAGACCCAGGATCGAGTCCCACGTCAGGCTCCCTGTATGGAGCCTGCCTCTCTCTCTCTCTCTGCCTCTCTCTATCTCACATTAATAAATAAATAAAAATATTTTTTAAAAACAGTATGAGGTTATTCCTTTGGACTAAAATTTTAAATATATCTCTCCCATCTCTACCCCTATACATTCATATATCTATGCAGGGAGATGCATTTAATTTTTCTTTCTGGAATATTACTAAAGGAATTTTGAACACTGGTTGAAAAGAAGTAGATGTGTCAGGGGAATAAAGAGAAGACTCTGCCTTTTCTTCTTAGACCTCTCTGTATAGACCGAATTTTTATTACCACATGATTACTGAACATATTTCATTATTGAATAACTGGACTTGTTTTATCTACATTTAACCAATAGTCCACCATCCATCTCTTCCTAGTCACTCTTGAGTCTGTTTGTCCTTTTATATTCAAGTAGTGAGTGCCTGGAGAAAAGAAGCAAATCAAGTCCCTTGGAAAATGAAAGGATAACAGAACACTGAATTCTTTTTACATTTTTCTTGATTTCCCTCTGCCAGATTTCTTTCATCCATGCTCTTTTACTCTCTGCTCCTTCCTATATCCTTTTTTCGATCTAGCTTTCTAGGTCTACTTTCTAGAAGCAAAACTGGAAAAAAAGAAACAACTGTTGTACACTAAAGAAATGCTTCAAGTCTAGTGAATTTAAAGTTGTGTTATGGATGAAACCTGAAAAAAAATTTCCCTCTTTGTCATTTTCATATATATATGAATATATATAATATGAACATATATATTCACATATGAATATATATATATATATTGGATCTATATATAGAGAAAATTATTGTGTCTCTTCTCTAAAAGTCTTGGAGAAAAAAAAAAAGACTGCATGATTTAGATATGTTCTGCTGGAGACAAACCAGATGACCTCCCTAGTTGCCATTCACCCTGTGATTTTAAAACATAGTGATTATCATAATCACAGTTCTGCCATAATGTGGATGAAAGAAGAATTCAAGAGTACTTCAAGGGTCTAGAATTGCTTATAAATACTAGTAAGTGGGCAGCCTGGGTGGCTCAGCGGTTTAGCGCTGCCTTCAGCCCGGGGTGTGATACTTGAGACCCAGGATCGAGTCCTGCGTGGGGCTCCCTGCATAGCACCTGCTTCTCCCTCTGCCTCTCTCTCTGTGTGTCTCTCATGAGTAAATAAATAAAATCTTTTAAAGAAATAGTAATTCAGGGATATTAAATATGACTTGAAAACAAGCATTCCAATGCCTCTGTCCATACAGCCTTACTAGATGAAAACTAGTCTCACAAATATTATTCTTAAATTCATTAGCCAGGTAGTTGGTTCATATAAAAATGAGTAGTTACATGTTTAGAATTAGGTAGACTGTAACTTAGTATATGTGCCGAGGAAGTGAGCACAAGTAGGCTATAGCTTAAATACTCTGTTTCCCATAAACTTTACAGTCACTGTGGTCACATAGGTAAATTGGTGCAGGTGAATGCCCAGGAACCTGTAATCTGCTTGCTGTTGTGCCTTCTCCTGCAGAGACCTGGATCGTCAGACAGAATCCAATTAAATCCACTTCAGCAAAGGAAAATATTAAAACGATGACCCAGCTTATAGAATTTGGCGAGGGCAGAAGATGATTATCTGAAAGTAGAGAGTAAGTCAAAACTGAGTCCAGATAGTGGACATCCGGTTAGATTTTTTTAGGTATTCAATAGAGTGCTCATGGAGTCAGGATGATTAGGGGGTGGGGAAGCATAACGGGAGAATCGAAGAGGTAACAATGTCTTTTTATTCTAGTCTCCGCTTGACCAACAGTATTTGAAAAACCAAGCTAGAAGTTCAAAAGTAAAACCTTTATGCCCTTAATATAAAGAATCCTAGGACAATGAGGTGTATATGCCTAAATGAAGTAATGCATCTCTGAGGAAGTATAGGGATCCCTGGGTGGCACAGCGGTTTGGCGCCTGCCTTTGGCCCAGGGCGCGGTCCTGGAGACCGAGGATCGAATCCCACGTCGGGCTCCCAGTGCATGGAGCCTGCTTCTCCCTCTGCCTGTGTCTCTGCCTCTCTCTCTCTCTCTGTGTGACTATAATAAATTTAAAAAATAAATAAAAAAAAACCAGGATATATATTTGTAAAAAAATAATACGTCTATTGAATTGGCAAATATTAATTAAGTATCAACTGTTTTTAAGGCCCTGTTTTAAGCACTGGGCATGTGTATGGTACTCAAGCAAGCCCAAATCATTGCTCTCGTGGAGCTTATATTCTTGTGGTGGAAGAGAGTGAAAAATAGCATGAGTAAATGAAACTGTTGGAGGGTTTGGAGTGGGGGGAATTTGTGTTTGTGATGATGGGGTGCGTAAGAAAAGGCAACAGACTAACATAGGCCTGAAGAAAGTAGTATAAGCCATGTTGGTACTTGGGAGGAGGACTTGCTAAGCAAAAGGAACAACCAACTGCCAGGTCCCTGAGAGGAAGTATGCCTAGTGTATTAGAGAAACAGCAAGAAGACTAGCAGGGCTCAAGCAGATTGCACAATGTGGGAGAGCAGCAGGAAATAAAGTTAGAAGGAG